TGATGCATCTCTTTTCCCCATATTGATGCTGGTTATGCTACTTTCAACTGATATCCAAGTCATATGGCTTGCACTTTAATCAACAATATAAAATATTACTGCAACTAAAACTCGTTAGAGTCCAAGCCTGAGTTGAATTTGATACAATTCTTGCCAAAAGCTCACTTTAGCATTCGATTTTTTTAGAAATGCAGTCTAATGGACAGATTAACTATTAATCTTTTTTATATTTTTCAGGCTTTAGCACGCTGTAGTAAGATCACTCACCGGAAAGCATAGTGCCTGGACCATATTTTATAAATTCCCCACAGAAATGCTTTTACCTAAGTATGACTTAGTGATTAATAATGTATCATCTTTTCCTAGCTATCTAGAAGTGAGAGGCAAGCCAGTTCCATTTGATAAGTACTTGCATTTCTTTGTCATACTGTAGAAGTCAGTGCTCACTATCAATTCATTTATATAGTCAACAACCCGGAGTAGTTTCATTCAGCATCAAAATCATCATGAAAGAAGTATTCTGTGATAACTGACTTGAGTCGGGAGAGAGAATTGCAGGCTTTCTTGTATATGGTCTGTTGATTCTTGTGACCTGGTGCAACCCATGAGGGACTCCAGGGTTTCTATGTGAGGAAATAGGACTCAGGCAAGGTTATGATACTTGGAAAAAATAATCTTTTACTTGAGTCTTTTCTACTTCAACTAATATACCTCCATTCTTTTAAGTGGTCTATAGATGCTGTTATTTGAGTCTATTCAATATTCTGATTCTATTTAAAGACCCTCCAGTTCACTTACATGCCTTTTGGATGCGGTCATGGATTACAGCAGCATAGAGAGGGGCTGCCTCCATCTTCCTTCAATACAGATAAAGGGTATAGTGCTTTCTTGGCATGTACAAATTGTTATTGATTTACATCACAATTACTGTTAAGTAAAATCCCTTGGCAGTTTTCTTTGCTACCAAAAAGCAAAACAATGCATCTTTTCTCTACTGTACTTGTGCAGATGGGATATTTTAGTCCCAAATTTAATAACTATTTTATATTATTTTATTAGGTTTATATTATTTTATATAAACCAATTTTATATTATTTTATTAGGTTTCGCCCATCATTCTAAAATATGAAAAATCTTATCACAATTAAAAGTTTATATTTACTTCCCATTTAATAGGTGCCAGTCATTGTATTAGGCATTTTCACCCATATTATTTTATTCTTATTTAACCCAAAGAGGAATATCAATTTTATGACTGAAGGTTAAAGAACATTAAGTAATTTGTCCTGGCAGGTGTGATTAGTGGTTAAAGCAGCTGCCTGTGTACCTAAGGGTCTCTGGTTTGATTTTCTGTCAAGAGCACATGCCTGGGTTGCAGGTTCTTCCACACACACCCCCGGGGGTGCATATAGGAGGCAACCAGTCGATGTGTCTCTCTCACATTGATGTTTCTCTCTCTCTCTCTCTCTCCCCTCCCCCTCTCTTCCCCTTCCTCTCTCTCTCTTCTACTCTCTCTAAAAATCAGTGGAAAAAATATCTTCGGATGAGGATTAACAACAACAACAACAAAAAAGAATATTAAGTAATTTGACAGAGACCTCTCAGAACATTAGTAATAGAATTTAGCTTTTGAATGCACATCTACCTAATTCCAGAGTTCATGATTTTCATCTGTTTATATTAGCCTACGATCATGAGTCACTAAGAAATTATTTAACTTTTATTCAAGGTACTCTATGTAAGGAGTTCAATTTTGAAAGGATTTTTAATATTTTAAAGGAAGATTTCATATGTAAGAACAAACTTCAGTATCTGTAGCCTATGGTTATAAATTGTAAGGTGTTGTTGTAGTTGTGTTTTTATGTACATATGATATATATAAATGATTCTTAACCAACATTAAAAACATATTTTTAAGTGATTTTTTTTTTAGAGAGAGAGGAAGGGAGAGGGAGGAAGAGATAGAAACATCAATGAGATACATGGGCTGCTTCCTGCATGCCCCCTACTGCGGATCGAGCCTGCAACAGGCATGTGCCCTGACCGGGAATCGAACTGATGATCTCTTTGTGCCTGGGATAATTCTCAACCAACTAAGCCACATGGGTGGGGCTTAACCTACGTTTAATGTGTTACTTTTATACACGATATTGAGCAAGCTATTTCAAAAATTAGTAAATTTTAAGATGAACAATTGTTAGTTTTTAAAACTATTAATCTGGAAAAAGAGCTCCAAGTAGATATGCCAATATTGGTATTCCATATTTCTTTCTTTAAAATTGCTTCATGCCCCTTTCTTGTAGCATCCCTTGAGGGAAGTAGGCATAAGAAGCTATTGTTATTGTGAAAATGTCCCTCTCTCTAGTCACAAGTGACTGAACTGAGGCGAAATAAATCCGTAGGCTGAGCTAGAACAATTAAAAGTATCTCTTTACAGTTTTTTATTTTTATTTGTTCTTTATTGATTTTATTTTATTTATTTTTATCCTCACCCGAGGACATTTTTCCATTTTTTGTTCAGATAGAGTGGGAGGGAGAGAGTGGAAGAGAGAGAGAGAAAAACATCGACATGAAAGGGACACATCGAGTGGCTGCCACCCACACAACCAACCAGGGCCAGGGACAAACTGCAACCGAGCTACACGCCCTTAGCGGGAACCAAACCCGGGTCTCTCTGAACCGCATACCGACGCTCTAACCACTGAGCAAAACTGGCCTGGGCTGTTCTTTATTGATTTTAGAAAGAAGGAAGAAAAAGGGAGAGAAATAAAATCGATGAGAGAGAACATCAATTGGCTGCCTCCTACATACCCCAACTAGGGATCAGGCCCACAACCTGGGCATGTGCCCTGACCAGGAATCAAACTGACAACCTCTTGGTGCATGGGTCCGCGCTCAACCACTGAGCCATACCAGCCAGGCTTTACAATTTTTGAGATAGAGGTTATAAGCATGTGATGGGAACTTAAACTAAAAAAATCAAATGAAGTTGAAACTGAGATGACATTGTTTAATGTACATTCTTAGAAGTAAGTGAAGGGAGTTATTCTTTAGGTAGAATGAAAAGAAAAGCCCAGAAAACTGTTATCCCATGAGAGGTACAAGGAATCATTACAGTACTTGATTTTCCATTTTTATTTTCCTGAACACAGAAATGGACTATGTGTTCTCTCCTTGGATGTCCATGAGATTGCCATTTGTATATTTTAAATGTCTGCTATACACCATTTATTTAAGCCAGCAATAAGAGTGATTTTTACAATGATTGGTATTCCATTAACATTAACTAACATCTTTTCTTTCTCAATAGATAAATAATGAACTAAACTATTAAACAGTTCAGTTTCACTAAACAGTATGAAATTCTGATGCAGAATTGTGTGTGTGTGTGTGATTTCTGTTTTAGGAAAACCTTATGGAAGGAATTCAGCCAAGGCCAACACTATGAGAGACAAAATATACACTTAAAAGTGCCACAGTATCAAGTACAAAATTTCTTATCCTTAATTGCAATAATAAAATTACAAAGAGGGTTAAGTGGAATGAATAAAGAATAATCAGTCAGTTGTCATTGAATAGGATCCCTTGAGTAGGTTTTGAGAGGAATTAGGCTGGAGAAAATCAGCTAAAGAACATATTTTTATGTGAGAGGAAAGAACAAGGTTTATGAGTAGGGAATTGATGCATACAATTATATTCAATGAAGACAGATTTGAGTGGCCTGTAGGAAGATTTGAAGTAGATAGAGACTATAATTAAAGGAAGCTTATAGAGGCTACTACAGCAACCCAGACATAGAATTACAAAGATGGCTTTCCTTGATCCAGATATATAAACAATGGATCATATTTAAATACATAATGAAAATTAATTGAAAGAACATTATTTTCTTTAGAGAAATTGATGACAAAGAAAAATTTTGTGAGTAATATTCAAGATAGTTTATATTTGTGCTTTTTTTTTTTTTTTTTACAATGGCTGGAAGGTGAAAAATTAATTCTAGTCATGGGTAAAAACTATAAATTTTGTTTTTAACTTGTTAAGTTGCTGTCATTGATGGGATTGCCACATAGATGATGGAGGAAAGATAGTGTTTTGGGAAATGTACTCAGAAGGTATCCATGTACAGTAATTAAAACTCTGAGTTTGCCTGTGCATTCACCAAAAAGAAGGCTATAACAAAGGGGAAAGGCATAACTTGAAGGGATATCAGCGTTAAAAGTTGGAAGGAAGAACTGAGTTGAGCGGTAATCAGAACTATAAGAAAAGAAGAGTGAGTAATGCTGCCATGAACATAGGGCTGCATGTATCTTCACAAGTAAATGTTTTCAAAATTTTCATGTAGATACAACCAAAAACGAACAAAAACTCATAGACACCGACCACAGTATGGTGGTTACCAGAGAAAAAGGATGGTGGTAGGGTGGTGAAGGGTAGAGGGCTTGAATGTATGGTGATGGAAGGAGATTTGACTTCACATAATGCAATATACAGATGTATCGTCGAATTGTACACTTGAAACCTATATACTTTTATTAACTAATGTTACCCCAATACATTCGATTTTTTAAAAAAGAAGAGAAGAGCGGAGCCCAAAGCCCATGAAGATGCCCGTAGGGCAGTTAAATCTAGTCAATGGTTAAATGCAGATGAGAGTGAAATAATTGGATTCCCCACCTCCTACCACCAAATCTCTAGCAACTTGAGAACTCTTTTTTTTACAAAGGAGAAATGGGAAGGAAGATTTCAATAAAAGGAAAAAGATTCAATGAATAACTAAATAAAACAGAATAAATTACTCATGAAATTACAAATTAAATCTAATATTAAATATAACAATTTAACAACTCAGATGTCTAAAAAAACTCAGGAATTTTCTTTGAATACATGTATTAAATTTGCTCTTATCGTTTACTTATATGCTCAAGTTTTTTAATTTAAATGTTTTATACAGCATATCCAAATTATATAGAGAACTAAAGGAAATACATTTCTTGCAGGTGCAAAATTGAAAATGGCTTCCCCAGAACCTAAGGGCCTCGTCCCCTTCACCAGGGAGTCTCTTGAACTTATGGAACAGCGTATTGCTAAAAAACACAATGAGGAACATAAAGAAGATTTAAAGCCAAACACTGACTTGGAAGTTGGAAAAGAGCTTCCATTTGTTTATGGGACTCTTCCTCGAGGAATGGTATCAGAGCCCTTGGAAGACCTGGACCCATACTACCAGGATCAAAATGTAAGGATTAATTGAACTTACTGGGAGTATATTTTTATTATTTTGTTTTGCAGACATTCAAAAAACATAATTGAGATAGGATGGAAACATAAAGTGAAGAATAAATTAACAGATAATTTTAAGTTATACAAAACTACATAAGAAATCTCACATATATTTGAGATTTTTATCAAAACTCACTGCTTGGTTGGTTGGTTAGTTTGTTTAGGGTAACTTTATTTTGTAATAGGCTATACTGTTATACGTTTTTTTCCTTCCCATCCATGAACAGGAGATGTCTTTACATTTATTTAGACCTTCTTTAGTTCAACAATGTTTTATAGTCTTTCATGTACAAATGTTATGTTTTTATTAAGTATATTCCTAAGTATTGTGTTTTTAAATGATGTTATTAGAAATGGAATTGTTTTCTTTATTCATTATTTGGATTGTTTATTGCTACAGTACAGAATGCAATTGATTTTTTAATATTAATCTTGAATCTTGAAACCTCACGAAACATAAAAAAAAAAATTGTTGGCACTAATATAGATGTCTCTCATTTTCACCCTCTTTGCCCATCTCCATTCAGCCGCTGCCCACACCTCCTCCCCTGGCGTTCACCACACTTGTCTGTGTCCGTGGCCTATGCATATATGTTCTTTGGCTAATCTCGTCACCTCTTATCTAGACCCTCCCACCCCCTCCCTCTGTTATGCGTTAATATAAGGATTTGTTTTATTGGAGTCAGATGATTGGCTACTTAAATAACTATAATATAAAATTTCTATAATATGTACACAATTTCACATGTTCAACTTGATGAGCTCACTCAATCGTTTAGAAAATAAAGCCAACCTATATTTTATTTATCATTTTTATTCATTCATATATTCAAATCTTATTTTATCTCCGGAAATATTTGAGGAACCTACTAAATATTTAAACAATTGACAAATAATCACAAAATAATAAAAATAAGAGTCATTGTGTTTAGTAAAGGTACAGGTCTGTGTGGACTGGCAGCTGGGAGGGTCTCCATTAAAGACATGCAGTGTGAGTTACAGTTTAGAGAAGATTTCAAATACTCACAAGGCCAAGCAAGGGAAGATCTATGAACAAGAAAGAGTAGGGAAGAAACAGGGTGATGAGAGACCTGGAACCCTTGCAACTGTGTTGCAAGTTGTAGGAAATAGATGAAATTAGAGAGATTTCAACATGGATTTAATGCGATGGCCAAAAGACTGATGTGATGAATGCAATATTTCAGTATGGTCACTGTGAATATTTCTAAATTCCTATTGCATGGAAGAAATAGGGTCAGAATAATGAAATCAGAGAGAAAGAGGAATCCAGGCCTGGTGCTTGGAGGCCTGAATTATAGGAGTATCTCAGAGGAGAGAGAGAGGTAACCAACCTGCAGGGTAACACATCAACAGGATTCGAAGACTGACTCATAATACCAAGGTTTTCAGCCTGAAAGAAAGGAAGTGCCGGGGACAAAAATGCAATAACTATAAAAAAAAAAGATCAATTTGGGGGGAGAAGAGGATTAGCCCCATTGTGGGCAAATGTGATTTGATATTCTTGTAGAGCACTCATAGATATTAACAAGTGGGTGAAATGGAATTAAACCAAAACTCTGGGTGGAAGGCAAAGTGATCATTTTGTATAACCACAACTCTTGAATCTTTGCTTCATGGAAGAGTATTGGCATTTTATAGTGTAAATATATTAACAAAAGGACCCTAGGATTTGTGGTAACTTCCAGGGCATTATACAACATAATAAACACCTGTAAAGTCTTGAGAACATTTAGTAGAAATGTAAATCCTTATCTCAATTTTCTCTGCTTTTAGCTTTTGCTATGCATAAATCTTAAGAATTAATATAATGCAGTAACCTTCGAGGTAATTCTAATATAGCAGAGTTGTGAGTTCTTTGTAGTATATACTGAAGTGGTAAGCAAATCACGTTTGTTATTAAAGAAAAAAACCCAAGGATTTTGAAAAATAAAACAAGTCAATTGCCCTGGCCAGTTGTTTGGCTCAGTGTTTGAGCGTCGGCCTGAGGACTAGAGAGACCCAGGTTCGGTTCCCGCTAAGGGCACATACCACACCAAAAAAAAAAAAAAAAAGTCAAAAACTGCAACATAATTTATTACAAAAAGTAGTTATTAATGATGACACAATTATTAAAATTTTGAATGATATTCTATTTATTCTGTTAAAGATGGTATATAAGTTAATGATTCTACAATTAAATAAACAATTTCAGTGCTTAAACATTAACTGGAAATTGTTTTTTATTCTCACCCGAAGACATTTCTCCATTTTTTTGTTCAGATAGAGTGTGTGTGTGGGAGGGGGAGAGAGAGAGAGAGAGAGAGAGAGAGAGAGAAACATTGATGTGAAAGAGACTCATCAAGTGGTTGCCTCCTGCATGACTCCAACCAGGGCCGAGGACGAATCGCAACCGAGTACGTGCCCTTGACCGGAATCGAACCCACGACTCATTGGTCTACAGGCCGATGCTCTAACTGCTGAGCCAAACTGGCCAGGGCAACTAGAAAATATTTTACCTACAATTACTCATTGTTTCATAATCTCATATAAGCTGGTTGGTTGCATATCCATCTTCTGTGAAGTTTGAAATTGTTCTGGAAAATATACAGAAAGCACATTTTAAATAATCAGGTTTATTTTAGGGGGCCCTTTTTAATTTTCTCATTGCATTTAAAGTGGAAAGAGGGAAAATATGTATAACACAGGCCAAATATCCACAGATTGTATGTTGGAAAAGGTTTCCATTTAGAACATGTATTTATAAACAATATACACATACACATACACACACACACAAATATAAGTAACAATATATATACACCTCTGTATGATTATATAGGATATAAAATAAAATATAATACTATAGTATATACAGTAGGACAAAAGTAGGTATATATAGTTGTTAGTATGTGAAAGTGTATTATTTTATTTTCCATACAAACAACTGTAAATCTACTTTTGACCCACGCTATATGAGATTATACTTAATACATATCATTTTAGTATATTATAGTATATTGTATTACATTGCATTATATAATATATATTATATACTGCTATAACATATAACGTTCAATATATATTTATGCATACACCACAATAAATGAATTTTCCAAATGGATATGTATTATAGTAAAGGTATGTATACAGAAACATACACACACACTTTCATTGTGTGTACATATATATTGTAAATACACACATGTACATATATATATGACTCATTTTTATGATACTTTTAATCTTTCATTAGTTTGGGTTTTATATCCCAGAATATTATTTTTACATGATTTAAAAGTATGTTATGACAATGATAACAAACAAGTGAGGTTTCATACCATGAATAATTACTAATGATCGATGTACTATTTCAGTGCATTTGTGTCATTTTTATTATTGTAATCCCACACTTTACTTGCTTTGAAAAAAATGAACTCTTTTTTACATTCACTGAATTCTGGTTAATTAATTAATTAATTTGTTTGTGTGTTTGTATGTGCCCCTAGCGGAAACCGAACTCGAGACTCTCCAGTCCACAGGCCTATGCTCCAACCCCTGAGCCAAACCGGCCAGGGCTGATTCTGGTATATTTAAATGCATCTCCAAGAGCCATTATTAATATATGCCTTCCTTTCTATTATTTTAGTTTCACAGGAAACTTTGAGGACTGGTGTATGGCAAATGGTTTTCTCAGGTAGAACGTTAGTTAAAAAAACAAAATAGTGGTATATAAGCCTAAATATCAATGAAAAGAGTTGTTTTTTTAAAAAAACAACTCTTTTCATTGATTTTGTCTGTAAAAGAATATCAAAATATAACTGTTAGAACTCATGACTGAAATGACTATTGTCAATATGTTGCATAATTGGTTAGGTTATATAGTTCATAGTTCTTATTTCATGTAATTTTTTTTTGCCTTACAGACTTTCATGGTAGTCAATAAAAACAGAACAATTTTCAGATTTAATGCCACCTGGTGTACATTGTCTCCTCTCAATTCAATTAGAAGAGCAACTGTTAAGATTTTGGTACATCCATATCCTTTTCTATTTAGAATGTACAAATATCAAATACAACTGTTCTATTCAAATATCGCTGCAGTCCTTTTCCCTTTTGAATTGATATCTTATTTTAGGTCATATTGAAATCTAGATTATAATTGCACTAAGTGTTCCATATTTGAAAATGCATTTAAATATATTTTCTAGTGCACACAACAGTAGTAAATATTAATAAATCTTAATCTTCATTGTTTTTCAGTATAAATATATTTTTTGATAATTTAAGAAACTATTTTTATCTTATGTATTTATATATAAATAGATTTTAAAACATGTATTTCCAATGTTGTTTATCTATTATTCCTTGACTATAATCTACCTTTTTTCGACTGTTCATTTTGATTAGTGTCCTGATTGACTGCATATATATGTCCATAAAATATTTTCCAAAATGGGGGCCAGAAGTACAGTAAGTAATATAATTTCAATATACATAATCTCATATAAGATTATATTTTATATTTAACATATGGCAATATAATATATTATATACTAAATATTATAACATATAATTAATATAATACTTATACGTGTACCATGATTAATACATTTTTCAAATAGAAACAAATATACATATATGTAAATTAATCAGTTTTAATGTTTTTTTTGCCCTTTCATTATTTCCCAACTTGTTAGGTTAGCATTATGTAAAGGTTTGAGTCTTTAGCTATATATTTATGCTTATGGTATCATACAAATGAGGTTTCATTTTAAAGTTCATTACTGATGATGAATATAATATTTCAGTGCCTCAGATTTTCTCTACTTTTGCAATCCCACACGATTTGCTTCAAACTCAAATAACTTTATTTCTTTTCATTCTTTAAGAAAGTTATTTTCCTCTCTTTCTATTCTACTTTTCTCTTTTCTGGGGGAAGTGAGTAGTTTGACTTGCATTAGCCTATAATAATGGAAAGGATCATTAATTAAATTTCCCGGGGATGAAGGCTTTCTTGATGTTACCTCTCAAATTTAATTCTGGGTGGCTCAGTTGGTTCAAGTGTTGTCCAGAGAACCAAAAAGTTGTGAGTTCAATCCCCAGTCAGGGTGTGGATGGGAAGGCAAACAATAAATGTATAGATGTTTCTCTTTCTCTCTGAAAATCAATAATCATACTCTGATTCACCATAAAAATCATTATAGGTACATATAATAAAATTAGTTCTTTAAAGTCCTTTACAATTCAGCTAATTATTGTGTGATTCCCAAAGTGGAATCAATTTGACCTTTTCATCATAACCCTGAGCTAGGACTTCTTGAAAAAACTGATAGTCAAATTGTATGGTTAATGCAATGAGACATAAGCCACCCTAGAAGCCCTATATAAAGCCTATCCTATGGTTCAAAGGTCATGTGCTTTTTTGACTGTTGTCTAGTTGGTTGCTTGGATGCCAGATAATTATTATAGACATTGTATTTTAGAACTGACAATGTATTATATTTGCTTTTAATGTATCTATAACATTTTTTCTGCAGGATCACTTTGCTTGGAATTTACACACTTGAAATACTTGTAAAACTCATTGCAAGAGGCTTCTGGACAGGACCTTTTTATTTCTTTGGTGATCCGTGGAACTGGCTTGATTTCAGTGTAACTTTGTTTGAGTGAGTATTTATTTAAGTTGGGAACATCTTAACACCTTGCTAAACATATGCTTTTCATTAAAAAATTGAAGTTGACAAAGTTTTCTGCCTGAAAAAATTTTGTAGATAAAGAATATTTCATGCCCTGGCCGATTTGGCTCAGCGGTTAGAGTGTCGGCCTACGGTCCAGAGAGACCCGGGTTCGGTTCCCGCTAAGGGCATGTACCTCCGTTGCAGTTTGTCCCCGGCCCTGGTTGGGTCGTGTGGGTGGCAGCCACTCGATGTGTCCCTTTCACATTGATGTTTCTCTCTCTCTCTCCCCCCCCCCCTCTCTATCTGAACGAAAAATGGAAAGATGTCCTCTGGGGAGGATTAAAAAAAAAAAGAAGAAGATTTCATAAATTCTAGTCATAGTGAGTTCTCTCAGCTCCAACTTAACTTGGTCTCAGAATATGCGATAAAAACAAAGGAATGGGATACTATCTACGTTTTCTATATGAAGCAAAGATGATAGAGGTTGAATTGTGCTTTCTAAGTTATTTTTAGTGAGCAGAAAAATCCTCTGGAGACTTAGGAGAGGACCCTAACATATATAGTTTTGTTTCAGATCTACCTTTTGTTTAGCTACATTTCTTAAGACAAGTAAATATGGTACATAAGATATTTTAAAACACACACACACATTTTCTACATTTCCTAGAGTTTTACATTAAATTCTAATGATTTAGCCCAGGCTGGTTTGGCTCAATGACTGGAACACTGGCCCTTAGATCCCAGGGTCTCAGATTTGATTCCCAGTCGAGGGCTTGTACTTGGGTTGCAGGTTTGATCCCAGGCCTTGGTTGGGGTCATGTGAGAGGCAACCAATCAATGTGTGTCTCACATCGATGTTTCTCTCTCTCTCTCCCTCCCTTCCACTCTATCTAAAAAAAATAAATAAATAATGGGAAAATATCCTTGGGTGAGGATTAACAACAACAAAAAAATTCTAGTGATCTATCTCTTTTTTAATGCATCTGTTTAATGTACTCTGCTTTGTGGCTGACTGATCAATGGTTCTATTTATAGATTTGGGGTCAATAATTTTTTTAAAATTTTTATAAAGGTTAATAACTAGTGTCTGCCATGTTGTAAGCAATGAAAAATAGTAGCTAAAATCATTGCAATTATTATCACTACTACTTCTACTATTGCTAACATTTCTGTCGCTGCTGTGAGCAAATGCTGAGCTAACACAGGCGACACTCAGGTATCCCTTAGCGTGTGCCAGTTTCTCTTCTGTGCGCTTTACATATATTAACTCATTTCATCACCCAAAAAGCCTCAGAATAAGGAAGTATTATTACCCACACTTTACTGCTAAGGAAACTGAGGCAAGAAAGATGAAGTAATTTTTGCATGTCACACAGCTAGTAGAGTGGAGCCTGGATTTCTACACAGGAGTCTGTGCTCCTAACCACTGTGCACCTGCCTTCTGCGGCCATCTCCACTACCATTGTCATCACCCAATCACCTTCAGTCCTTCAGTGGAAGCTCATCCCTTTAAGAGACTATGGGGTTTGTTGTAAATTATCTTTTTATTAGTTAGATAACAAAATATTTATGAATATGATATAAATATGAGATTAAGAGTACTCACAGGGTCAGAATTTCATAAACTCTCATAATCTGTTTGTGGATTAATATTTACCTGTCCACTTTGCACATTGTAGCAATCTTTGTCTTCTAATCAGTGATAAACCTATTTGCACAATGGAGTAATGAGAGCAAAGAAAATGCTTGGATAGATGGTTTTAAAAATAAGTTTCAAAGAATATAAAAAGTCAGTGATATAAAAAGTCAGTGATATATATATAAAGCATAATCTCAATATGACCTCTATATAACTCTAAATTAATTCCACAGGCATATAACAATATATTCACCTCTAAACTTCAGACCAATATTTAGAGTTGCAAGAAATTTGAGAATTTTGAAAATTATTCCTTTAAACCAAGGTAAGAAATGGCATTGAGCTTCTTCTCTTTAGTTTGTTTTATGTACTCCCATACATTCTTTTGAATTCCTTTGTCATAGTTTGGAGAAATATTACATTGAATACTGCTGCAGCTTTGAAATCAATGAATTATCTGATCTTTAAATTTATTTCAGTGACTGCAGAAAAGGCAAAAATAATAACATATTTGACTGTTATTTATGTGAGGTGGATTCATCAACTCTAAAATGTAGACATCAATTGACAATATTACTTTTCTATTTTTTATTATTTGTTTATTCTTACATCTTAAATATGAATTTATAAAATGTCTTTGAACTTTTGAGAGAGATAGCAGCCTAGACAGATATCTAACCTACCTTCTTGTTTTTCTTATTACATCTGACAATCAATACAGATGAAATCAATAAAGTTGTATAAAATAAGGTAAATTCTTTTTGTTCTGAGCGCTTGGATAGAATGCATTCCACGTGCTGCAAAGTTCAAGGAGGTCCTGCTAAATAAGGCTGTGACCACATTGCAGGAAGATGCTGAGGACTAATCTGTAGCTCCCATTCCTGAAGATATCCTAAAGAAGCCCACTAACACCTTCTAATTTGTTATTCAGAATGAATAAAAACAATCTTATAGGAACAACTCCACTGAGAGGTTTTTTGACTACTACGAGTTAGAGTAGTATGAAATAGTTGAATCAATAAACCTTGGGGCAAGTATGATAATACCAAAAGTAAGAACTACAGGCAACTTTTGTCCCTGGGACACCATGAACAGGGCCCAACATATGTATGCTATGTACTTGGAGTCCAGATTGGCAAAACAGCAAAAAAAAATCGGGGAGTGTGGTGATGGATGCATAACCATGTGGATATACTAAAACATTGAACTGTGCACATTAAACGGGTCAATTGTATGGTTTATGAATTATATCTCAATAGAGCTATATTGTGGCATGGCAGTTTTGCCAAACCCAGTGAAGAAACCAGTGAGAGTTGCCCTGATAGGAGTTGCCCCAATCTTAACTCCCTTACTGGTCTCTGCAAATTATTAGAACATAAAATTGCATCAACTGCATCTTCATTTTAGGATGAGAGGCAAGGATTATAAAAGAAAGCAAGTGAATCCTAGTTAATACAAGAGGAATACACTCGCTAGAGTTCAAAGCACACAGGCTGGTAGGACCTACTCTTTTTTCCAAGGGAGAAAATAAAAGATACACTTATAAAAGTATTATAAAACCCCTACAAGCAAAAAGGCAAAGAAAAAGAGCCAATGGAAAGGTTATCCTTAGAGCTCTTTAGTGGGCCGTGGGGTTTCAGAATTGGGGGGAGTGTAGGCTGAGGTTAAGACAACAGAATTTTATACCTGTCTGTCATTCATGTGTGAAGTCAACAGAAAGATATTCTCAGCCACACAAGAGTTCTGAAATTTTACCTATATATCTTTCTTGAATATCTGCTGGAAGAAAAAAACAAACAAACATAAAAATAAAATAAATATTCAACAACGGGAAGATTTACTACCAAAAGTAACTGCAATGAACTCTGAAATCATTTCAATGGAGAATGAATTCCCAATTACTGTTGTTAGTGGGTTGCAAAACAGAATACCAGTATTATACATTAGAAATTGCAGCATGGACCTCTTTGGGTTATTGTTGAACTAGAAACATATTTTGTTTATGTTTTTTAAAACTTTGAAATAGATTAAAACCTCATAAAAATCTGGTGATTTTTAATATAAAAATCTAAATTAATTTGGATAAATGGTTAGCATCAATCCAACCAAAATCCTGGATGCAGCTACCAGCTGTGGTTGAGGAGCCGCTGACCCTTTAGCTCAGGCATAGTCATCCCAGTCTCCTCCACTCTCTGTTTGCATGCATGTGTGTTTTCTGACAAGCCTTTGTAAGAATTTGAATGTTATCTTTCCTATAAATCACTAAAGATTTATAGTACAAATACATAGAATTCAACAATTATAATTAAATCAAAATTTTGAAATTATCTTAACAAAAACTGAGAAGTGAAGAAAGCAAATATGTTTATGTTCTTATCTTATATGCTAAGACTATTGTAGGTACAGTTTTATTTTTGATGTAGAGAGTACTTTTGTTCAAAATAAGAACTTAAGTTTAATACAGGTTTTCAAAATAGATATACTAGAAGAAAAAATAAAGATGTTAAAGTTTATTTAGAAAAGATCAAACACATATTAAATCACAAAGGGACACATAAAAATCAAAAAAGAAAATGATAAAGATTAATCCAAATGAAGGCAATTTATTAAAATAAAAATGATTGAGTTAAAATTATCAGTCAAGATGTAGATACCTTAATATTGAATCAGAAATAAATTTCACTCCACCAGAGATGCCTAAACTAAAACAAAATAAAAGTTTAAAAGTAAAATGAGGGGGAAAGTTATACCAGGAAATCAAAATTAAATTGGCATATGGTTCAGAACTTTGTCTGGTAGCTAACAAGGAATGGTAGACAACAAAGAAAATTATTAATACATTTGATTCTGTAAAACTGGACCGTAACTCTTTTACCTTCAAACAAAATGTCACCAATAAATTAAAGTTCACAAAAATTTGGTTTATATATATACACACACATACATATATACATATACACACACGTATTCTTATTTAAGAGCTATTCTTAAAAATAATTCCAACAAAACAATAAGAAAAAATTTTTAGTAGAATAATATTCAGAAGACTCAGGACAGTCACACAAAAAAAAGTGCAGTGCAAATATACATGTTTTAAAAGTTCATTATGGTAATCACAGAAATTACATTAAAGTGATCCCATTTTTTCTTCTAGTATGTATTTGCTGTGGAAGTTTCCTAATATTACTTTACTAAGATATTTTACTTTATTGAAAACAAACCTGTCTCTTTTTAGGCATGAAGTCTTACGTAGGGATCCTATTCCAGTGCTTGAAGAAACTCGCTGGTGTCATTATCCTGACTCTGTTTTTTCTGAGCTTATTTTCTCTCATTGGGATGGGGCTCTTCATGGGCAAACTGAAACACAAATGTTTCCGATCGCCCCAAGAAAATGAAACTGAAACCCTGCACAACAGAACCAGAAACACATGTTATACTCGAGGTAAGAATCACTTGTCATCTATGTCAAAAAGTTAATTTTTTTTCTTTTTTGACGGCGGTTTGTTTTTAGTTTTATTTTTTTAAATTGAGATATAATTTACATACCATAATACCTGATGTTTTAGTTTGTCACAAGGTTGTATAACCACCACCTCTATCTAATTCCAGAACATTTTCATCACCCCAAACAGAAATGCCTGTCCCTTAGCAATCACTTCTCATTCCCCTAGCCCCAGCTCCTTGCAACCACGAATCTACATTTCATCTCTTTTCTATTCTAATTCTATTCTAATAGAATCTACTTTTCTATTCTGGACATTTTATATAAATGAATCAAACAATATATGATCTTTTGTTACTAGCTTCTTTCACTTAACATAATGTTTTCAAGGTTCATCATGTTGTAGCATGAATCAGTACTTTATCTCTTTTTGTGGCTGAATAATATTCCATTGTATGTCTATACCTCATTAAAAATACATTCATCAATTGATTGTTATTTATTTTTTATCTTTTATGACTAGTATGGATAATGCTGTTATGAATATTTATGTGCACAGTTTTGTGTAAACATCTGCTTTCCATTCTCTTGGTTGTATACCTAGGAGTGGAATTGCTGGGTCATGTTAACTCTATATTTAGCTTTTAGAGGAACTGCCAAACTGTTTTCCAAAGTGATGCCAGTGAATTACATTCCCACCAGCAGAATATGAAAGCTCCATTTTTCTCCACATCTTTGACAACACTTGCTACTATTTTTTATTATAGTTATTCGGGTGGGTGTGAAGTATCTCCCTGTGGCTTTGATCTGCATTTCCTCAATGACTAATGATGTTGAACAGCATGCATGTGCTTATTGGCCACGTGTATATCTTCTTTGGAGAAATATCTATTCAGATCCATTGTCCACTTCTGACTGGGTTATTTGCCCATTTATTATTGAATCTAAATAAAGTTTATATATTGTGGATACTAGACTCTTATCAGATACATGATTTGAAAACATTTTCTCCCTTCTATGGATTGTCATCACTTTCTTGACAGTGACCTCTGGAGCTCAAAAGTTTTTAATTTTGAGACTATTTTAGGCTAATAGAAATAATGCCACATAGGTATTGCTTAACTCGTACTTAGTAATTCACATGCCTGGTCACATTTCTTCACCATAATCCTGCAGAGGAGACACGAATATTCTCTGTTACAAACAAGGAAAGGAAGTTTAGAGAAATTGAAGTGAATGCTCCAGAGTACCGTAACTACATGGTGATAAAACCAAGATCCTAACCAAGCACAGTCTGGCGTTAATAGCCATTCCCTTTTCACCAGTCCATACTCTCAGGGGATTTTTCTCTCATATTAAAATGATCAAGTCTTTTCTGACAGTATTTAGGAAAAATGAAAGCATATTTTTCAACTAATAAAAACCAAATGTTGATAAAGCTTACGTAGTCCTACATTAATTTATACTTTGGATTAATAAATTCTAAAAAAATCTTAACAAATTTTACTTTTCAGTTTAGCCCATAATAGGATTATGGTGCAAGTAATGCATAATTATTGGTAAATGAATATGTGAAATGTTCCTTTATTATATGTGTCTATTGCAAGGTTCTAATCTTAGTGGTGAAGACAACAGGAGATAGATATTAAATGTTAGATTCCAATTGAAATATCCTTTGGTTTCTTTGACATTGTAACCAAAATATGCTAATTACTTAAAAAATAAACAAGTTTGGCTATTTCACTAATTATTGCTTATAAAACAGGTTCTTTTCATTTTTGTTAAAGTATGTTATAAATAAATCACTTTTACAGATTACTACTTTAAAATTTGTCAATCCATTTCCTCAAATAGCGTGTTAGGAATTGCTGAAAATATTATATTATTAACCTAATTGCTATGTCATAGTCCTTGTACTTAGAAAAATAATTGGGAACTGCCTAGTTTTACTAATGTCAAGTTTCATTTATATTTTGACTGCCCTTCAAAAGTTTTGATCAATGGTTTCTAATTATTTATTATTTAAATTTTTTCTAAAATTATTTTAGGTGACAAATTTAAGTGACATTATTTGAGGTTGGAGTGATTCAACTTTGTATGTATAGTATATATACAATTTTGTACTTATATCTGTTTGTATATACACAAACACACACACTCAGGACAGCTCTTTCATGGGTTTGATCTCTGTGATTTGAATTTTAGAACCTAAAAACCAGTGCTCCTAAGGATGCATGTCCCCAACGCTGGTAACTACATTTATAAATGTACAGTTTACATTTTCATTGACAAGCAGCGATACTTGGATAAATTCTATGGGCTATAATTCAGATCAACTTGAGTTGTAGTCAAAATTAGGTGACATCAGGAAAGTAATTGGCATTGGATACTCAATGTGGAAAATAAGCTTTGAAGTGAAAAGAGAATGGAAATTAAACCAAAAGACAGAAAAATATAACCTGCTCAGGAAGAACATCAGAAATAAATCCTGGAAATAAGGGTCATTTGCTTTCAAACATATTAGTCTTGGGAATTTTTCCTTCAGGGGTCTGGTTATATCTGGTGGGTTACATTCATTTTCCTGAACTTTAATTTTGAAGGGAATTCTTCTCTTTCTGTACTGAGTTTATCACTTCCAAGTAGATGGATTGCCAGAGGCGTTTTTGCCTCTGCATCAGATGCTAGGACAGCTTCCTAGATTAAAAAAAAAAAAAAAAGTCTATGTGATAATTCCTTTTCACTATAGAGGTTTAAATGGATTTCAGATATGTTGTTAACTCAAGATTAGATATAGAATAGCATTTCTTTTCTATTTTCAGAAACAGAAAACTTCTATTATTTGGAAGGAGAAAGATATGCTCTCCTTTGTGGCAACAGAACAGATGCTGGGTAAGTGATGTTAATGTTTTCTTCTATCAAGTCAGTATCACCAATCAATAGTATTTATTGAATAATTATTGATTTTAGTAATGGCTCCCATTTGATTAGATTATCTAATTTGATGATCAAAACGATGCTGGGAAGTGAATAGAATGGAATACTATTTAAAAAACTCTATTAAAAAAAATAGACAAACCAGCTAAATGGTTTATTTAAGGTCAAGAAGTTAGTAAACAGCAGAGCTGGGACTTAAACAAGATCTGATTTTTTTCTGTTTTTAGCGTGCCTCAGAGCTAGTGCAAATTACCAAAAAAGACAATATAATCTTTATTTGGCCAGAAGCCTTTGAAGAAAAGAATATTAAAGATATGTGGTTATTTCACTTATTTTATGGCTTGTCTATCTTTTATGACTATAATTTACATGAATAAAAAGTTCTTAAAAAGTATTTATAAGTAATTCTTCAGTGAGAACACAACTCTCTTGTCTCCTTGTCCTCCAGTTTCAGATGAAGAGATGAGGAAGTCGGAATACAGTGCTTCTCGGCAGAGCTATGCCTTATGTCACTTTCCTCAGCTGGAATGACTTGATAGCCGTCTGTAGGCTCAACTCTCTTAGCTCAGGGGCCTCAGATTGTCAAAAGGCACATGGTGATGAAAGGAGTATGCTATGTAGTTTAGTTATATTCAGTTGATTTAAATATTTTGTCGCTTGCTCAACTCTTATTGCCCAGCTACTGCTGGGCTAACACTATCCTCAAGTCCAGATTGTGAACTCATCCCAAGGTGTCTGCCCTATACAACTCCAGCTAGCCCTTTCTGTGGACATTCCAAATGCATATTGGAGATATCTGGTCAGGGATAGTCAGAATCTCATGATACATTCCAAGGTTAGAGAGAAAGTCATGCAATGTTTCCACTATAGCCATCGTACTTTTCTACAGGGCAAATGATCCCAAAAGTCAGTCCCTCAAGACAAGAATGAAATTCACTTGGTCAGATTATGAGGTTCAGCAATGTAGCAAGCTCCAATAAACAATTACTTTTTAAACCTCTGTTTGTATCACACCTGTTAACCGTTAACAAATGTCCAAAACAAGTCTCATGGCCAAAGCCAACTAACGTGGGCAGGAACTAAGCAAGCGCATGGATAGAGGGAAACATGATTTACTGGGCACCACTGTACTAATTGACCACAATACAATAAAAGTATGAAGACTCTATAAAAGGAGTCTTTTATAAAAAGGTATGAAATAAATATTTGCTCTTCCCATGGTAATGCAAGTGCTGCTTATAATTATTGATGTGACAAATGTTTTCTCACCCTTAAGTAATAGGATCTAAGGATTTGAGATGAGATCATTTGAAAATTGAAAGTTCAGCTATTGCAGTTTTATTTTTATCAGTGTTATATTTCATCAGTTACACGTTCACTTTGATACTGAGTAGTAAAGAAACCTTTAACCAACGCTCGGTAAAAACCATTCATCAGGCCCTTTTTCCTTTTAGCTTAATTAACACTGTTCACTTTTACCAACTTAAAATGTAATTCATTTGAAGCTTTTTCACTGGAAATTGTTAGAGAGAAGACTGCTCCTTGTGAAAATGAGAGCCCTTCATTATTTATGGGCAGATGTTCTATAATTATGATTTGGCCATAATCTGTACGCAGTTTTTCTGTCTTTGTCTTTTTTAGTCGGTGTCCTGAAGGATATATGTGTATAAAAGCTGGCATGAATCCTGACAATGGCTACACAAATTTTGACAATTTCGGCTGGGCCTTATTAGCCCTATTCCGGTTGATGACGCAGGATTACCCTGAAGCACTGTATCACCAGGTAAGAACAAGGAATATGCTGTGCACATAAGAACGGTATCCTACTCCATGTTCTTCCCTTCTAAGATAATGCTCAAATGTAACATAGTTTATTACATTTTTATGTGGAGAAGAATTTGAAGACAAAAGGGAAGAGAACCAAAATTATTAAAGGTCAAACTATATTCTAACACTGTGTCAAAGTCTGTGCTCTTATGTATAATAGCTCATTTAATCTTTAAAACAATCCTACATGGTCAGTATGTGTATATATACATCTGCTTTTTATGTGAGGACAGTAAGATCAGGGTGGTTGGGAAACCTCCCCCAAGTCATAACACATGTATGTGCCAAGGATCACTGTCCTGCTCTGTGGTATTAACTAAGTTAAAAACATTTCTAGGTACCAATTCTTTAGTCATAAATTTGAACCTATGAGATTCCGAGTATTACACAACTATTTACTGAATACCTACAATATGCTATTTCTTTTCGATTCTTCTATTCTCATTTCTCTTTAACATTCAATCTCGCCTCAGATGTAACAGGAGGCTGTTGTTATGAGACTTGAAATCCAAATTCTGAAAGTCTGTCTTCATAACTGATGATTTGTGTGCCATAGTTTCTCAGAAAGATATAATGCTCATTAAAACAGATTTTCTTTTAAGAGACATTTCACCACAGTAGAATATGCAATGGTATTTTCACAGCATAATTAATATAAAAGAATATTAGATCAAATAATTACTTTAGATTACAAAAGTATTTACAGTTGAAGGAGAACACTTTTTTTTTAAACACACATCTCCTCATAGTTTTTATGATTGGATAGATAAATAATGGTGTGTGTGTGTGTGTGTGTGTGTACAGGCCATTAATAAAGGATAATGTGGTATGTTTTTGGCACAAAGGTTAATGATATATTATTAAATAAAAGTCAAGTAAACCATGCCCAGCCGGTGTGGCTTCGAGGATTGAGTGTCATTCCATGTAGACTGAGAGGTCCCTGTTGGATTCCCGGTCAGGGCACATGCCTGGGTTGTGGGCTTGATCCCCAGTAAAGGGTGTGCAGGAGGCAGCCAATCAATGTATCTCTTTCACATCCATGTTTCTATCTCTGTCTCTTTTCCTTTCTCTCTAAAAAAAGAGTCAAGAAAAACATATTTTAAAAAAATACAAATAAACCAAAAACAGATGTAGTATAATTGTATTTCTAGTTAAAGAAGTACATGAAAATATTACAAGTGACATTTTCTTTATGCAAACTATATTTTCTAATTTTGTAAGATTAGTATTTATATTATTATTTCCCATACTTTTTTTTTTTTATCCTCACCCGAGGACATTTTTCCATTTTTTGTTCAGATAGAGTGGGAGGGAGAGAGAAAGAGAGAAACATAGACATGAAAGGGACACATCGAGTGGCTGCCACCCACATAACCCAACCAGGGCTGGGGACAAACTGCAACTGAGATACATGCCCTTAGCGGGAACCGAACCCAGGTCTCTCTGGACCGCAGGCTGACGCTCTAACCGCTGAGCCAAACCAACCAGGGAGATTATTTCCCATACTTTTTGACAAGTATCAATGCCTCCTCCACAACACTAGTAACTTATTTCTAAAATAATCTTAACATGTTATCCTCCTGATAAAAATCCTTCCATGGTTTCCAAATTCCTATGGAATGAAGGTCAAAGTCCATATGCTTGGTACATAGTGCCCTTTAAGATCTAGTCTCTGCATAGTTCTCCAGATTTATTTCCCAACAATACCCCAATGTATACTCTCTGCTTCATTTGAGTATAAAAAAGACTTGCTATTTCCTACATGAGCTTTTCCCATAACTTCTTTTTTAATCTATGTTGTACTCTGTTTAAATTCAAGTTTTTTTGTCATCAGTCTCGTGCCTCAAATTCATAACTCAAAACCAGATTTCTCTTTTGAGCTTTTCCATGAGCTCAAATTATATCCTGCACCAAAGTCCACACTATCGTATAATTGCTCTGGTTATGTTAATTTTTTGTTCAGTTTTTCCTTCCACTAGGAGATATGCTACCGAAGTAGTATTTTGTCTTACTTTAATTTTTGTGTTTTCAACATCTAACACATAGGAGTGCTTAATGAAATTTTAAACAAAAAAAAATAGGTATTTTGGATTGTTTTACTTTATATAATAATAAATATCTTGCCTTCTTTAAACTCCTCAGAGTGTGTTAGCTAATTTCTTTGTTAGCATTGGCTTAAAGGAAATCTTTTCCCATGACCGTCGAAATGAGAAATCAGTCTGGGAATGCCCTGGTGTTTGAGTCCATGAAGTACCTGCATCATTATTATACTCTAGGTTTATTGGCTAGTGTAGATAAGATTTTCTATAATTTGGACTGAATTTGTACTCTGAATATTACCTTCAACTAAATTCACTATGACGAGGGAAATTCAGCAATTATTCCTAAAAACAACTCATGTTTGGAGAATATTATTCTCTGTTTATTCAACACATATTTATTTGATCCATATACTCTCTGATATATCATGGGTACAGAAATGAACAAAACAAAGTGTCAGTGCTCATGGAATAAAGTTATGTTTAACAATAGTTAATATTCATTAAATATTTGTCATGAGCTAAGATCTTTGCATTCATAGTTTTATTTGATTTTCATAACAAAACTATGATTTTCATAACAAAACTAGCCTCAATTTCATGCTAAAATACAATATAACTAGAATTTGTACATTTTCTCATCCTAATTATAGTCTATACTTTTATCCTTCACTCACTTCATATAATAAAAAGAGCAAAAGTCTTGGATTCAGGCATCCTTCTCCTATAGCTGTGCGATCTTTGGCAATTGATTTTGCTTATCTAATTGTTTCTCTCTTCTGTACTTTGGAAATAATAGTAAATACCACATAAATATGTTGCACAGAATTAATGAGATAATAAACATAAAGTATTTATTAATGTGCATGGCTTGCAGTATACTCCATATACTATATTACTGACTCCTGAATATAGTACAGTAAATGACAGCTGGTTCAGTGGAAGAAAATATGTAAGTAAATCCTAAATAGTTCACTGTGATAATGGGGTTTGCTTAAAATACTTTTAAAGACAATATACTATAGATTAATAAAAAATTACTTCTGATTGAATATTAAAACTTTCTATTAATCTATAAACATTCCTAACTCTTTATATCAACACAATATTTTCTGTAAATAGTACTTATTATTTATTGATTCTAATGCATGCTTAAACATTATACTCCAGTTTTTCTTTGTTAATATACTTTTTAAAAAATTTATCTTTGTTGTTCAAAGTATTACAGATTTTCTTCTTCTTTTTTCCCCACTGACCCCCCCTCATCTCAGCCCCTCCACCACCACTTTATTAACAAGGAAGATAAATCAGTGAACTATAAATTTTGGATTTATAATGTCTACTTATACTTTTCTGAATTTAAATTTTCTGATCTATCTTAAGTAATTATTATGAAATAAAGGATGGCCAGTGCTTAGTTTGGAAATTTAAAATTTTGTATTTTTTAATCTATAAATGAATAAGTGAATTACATAACTTTCCCTTGTGACTCATCTAAAAATAACTTACCAAAGTAGATATTCTGACGAATACAAAAATATTTCTGTTCCCCACCCTTTGAATACCTGATTTTGTATCTTGATGTGATAGTTCTATAAAGTAATTATTAGAAGAAAATAATCTCTAAACATTCATTCTTTAACTTTATTAAATTTCATTTATCTAAAGATTCTATTGCAAAGAAAACAATCTTTCATATTTAGATCATCCAGCTTTCTTCGTTGAGAGATGAAAATTTTTTTCTTTCACTGTTTTCTTTCTTTTTTTTTATCCTCACCCGAGGACATTTTTCCTTTTTTTTTTTTTTTTTTTTTTTGTTCAGATAGAGCAGGAGGGAGAGAGGAAGAAAGAGAGAGAGAAACATCAATGTGAAGGGACACATCGAGTGGCTGCCACCCGCACGACCAACCAGTGCTGGGTACCAACTGCAGGCCAGGGCCTTCCACTGTTTTCTTTATTAATGAAGACATAAAAGTAAAATGCTCATCCTAAATTACACATTACTCAATTCATTCTTTGTTTTGTACCATATAATTTATACCTTAGATATCTCTAAAGTTGAAGTTCTTTTTGCTTGTTTTTTCACATAGAGCCGGTACTTAAACTGTCTTGTGATTACATTCTACTTATGACTAAATTTTTTCCTAAAAATCTTTATTTTTATTTTAAAACAGGAGGTTACAAGAAGATAAATAACATTTTCCTCTTTTGTCCTGTTTCCCACCTCTCTTTAGATCCTCTATGCTTCCGGAAAGGTCTACATGATATTTTTTTTTATAATAAGTTTTTGGTTTGCCTTTTATATGGCAAGTTTGTTCCTGGGCATACTTGCTATGTCCTATGAAGAAGAAAAGCAGACAGCTGCTGAAAAATCTAAGAAGACCGAACCAAAATTCCAGCACACTTTACTTCAAGAAGAAAATGAAGCAGCTGAGGTATAATTTTTTTAAATGCTTCTTAGAATCTGAGTTTGAGTTATCTTCTCAAGGTCTTGAAGTATATTGCTAGATGCTCAATATCCATGTGTGGTACATGATAAAAAGATCAAAAGTGATTCTGATAAGAACATTTGCTTTTGCTATATAAATTTCTTCCTGTGTGCATTATGGTAAGAATAGCCAACAGCTTTTAAAAAAAAATTTTTTTTTTCTTTATTGATTTTAGAGAGAGAACAAGGAGAAGGAGAGAGAGATAGAAACATCGATGAGAGAAAACATCAACTGGCTGCCTCCTGCATGCCCCCTACTGGGGATTTGGCCCACAACCTGGGCAAGTGCCCTGACTGGGAATCAAACTGGTGACCTCTTGGTGCATGGGCTGACGCTCAACCACTGAACCACACCTGCCAGGCATGAATAGCCAACATCTTTAAAGATTTTTATTAATATATACATTTTTTTGGTTTCAAACTATGTATTACCACTGCTCATAAACTATGGAACACACACACACACACACACACACACATACATATTTGAACTCTACTTCTTATAATGCAGGTATAGTTTATTAATTCAAACTTGCTTCAGATAATACATCAGAATTAACTTTGGAAAATTTGGTGTTCAACTCAAATTGATAATGCCTTCCGTGATTTAGAAATCACAAAGTATTAAAAGCATGAATAAAAGTACAAGACTGAAGTTGTAAAAAGAGAAAAAAAATTATTGACTTTCTATCACCTTCAAAAGGAAATGCACTGTGTAGCATGATATAGGGAATTATTGTATTCATAAAATTAAATTCATAATTAGTAAAAGTTAACAAGGGTTTATTCTAAATTTTAATTTTAGTGTAGTCGAATACATTTTCAGAATTTTAGCTTCCTAGCAAAATATTTGGTTTATAAATCTAAAAGAATTGACAGAAGAAGCATTAAAGAAGTGGTAGTAATTTATCATTTAAAGTCTAAATTGTACTTTAAAGTTTGCTAAAAGGGAGAGCAGGACCCAGGAAAACAACCAGAAGGAGCTTGCTAATTTCACAGGAGCTAGCAATCTCACACTTCTTCCTTGGTTTGAAGAGGGTAGTTTCATCTCGTCTCTTAACACCTCTAACTGGGGTTGAGCTGTAGGGTGAGCAAAAACCATGCACCCTGCAATGGTACCCAGCCCACGCCCCTTCAGCGGTGTTGCTCCTTACCCCTGGGATCTTGCTTGAAGAGTGCTGGGTCCAAAGCCACCATGGTCAAGTGCTCCTGCCCCGCTGGTCTGGTTACAGGCCCTCAGTTGGGGGCAGGGGGCCATGTCCTGCCTCCTCTTGGTCCCTCTGGATTTGTTACTACTTTGCACTCTCGATAGTTGCTAACAAAGACTCTTTACACTGGGGAAAAGCTCGAACTACATTCTCTATTAGATGGGAAAAGGACAGATTGAGGGAGCTGACAGATGATATAAAGGAGCTATACCAAGGACCCTCTCACGTAGAAGAGATGGCGGAAAGTAAAGGGTCAGGATATACTATGGCACTAATTGGATGTGTAATAAAGCTGGCTAAGAGGTTCACGAATACCAAGGGTTATTTCTGAGTCAAAAGGGGGGAAAAGCTAACTTGCCTAAATATGTAACCCTTTTTATTGTCATCATCAATAAAGAAGCTCTAAGAATGTCATTCTTCCAAAAAGTGAGACCTGAGTGACATGATGTAAGGCCATACGAATGACTACCTACTGATAGAGGCTCATGTCTACATGGTCCATAACGCACACCATTGAAACAAGAAGCAATTATAGACCATATGAAGAAAACATGTATAAAAAGAGGCTATTGAGTCTAGCCATTATATCACCCTTGAGGAAGTCACAGGAAAACAAATTACAAAAGCTTTCTGTTTCTAGAAATGAGTCCGGGGTCCTTAAGATTGAAAGATTATGGCCTGAATGATACGTTGAATGTGTAATTTGTTTTGAAGTGACATTTCAAATGTCAAGGGCTACACACAAATGTATCCAAGAGCACAATACTGCTCTTATCCCAGGATGAGATGCCCTATTAACTCTGCTTAAGAACTTGGATTATTTCCTAATTTTCCAATATCCTCATTCATTTGGCTGCTTTGGATCACACAAAGCCTTTCTAATTTTAATTAAAATATTTCAGTTGTAAAGGATTTCTTTTCTTGGAGGAGTACTAGAACATTTTGTCATGCGAAGGTTTTCCAGGAAGTGAGAGTGAAAAACATTTTCACAAGATTTCTTTTCTTTTCTTCTTTTATTTATATATAAGAAAACACTGGAGAGAGAAGAACTTAAATGGAAAACACTGAGGACACTTTCTGAATGAAAACTAGTCAGGTTCTAATTCCTGTGTTGGTATTAGCAGGGCGTGTTCAGATGCTTCATATTCTCACATTGCAAGAAAGCAACGGATCATGATGGCTAAAAGCAGTTTTGCAGTCAGATAAAGACAAATTTCAGTTCATTTTAGTCACTACATATAATATTTGCCAATTCTGTTAATTTTTCTAAACTTCAGCTTTTTATCTGTATTTATCTGTATTTTATAGTATTTATCTTATAAGTTGTAAGATTCAAATGAAATAATTCATGGTAAGCGCTTGGAACTTAGAAATGTACTAAATAACCAAAAAATGTTAATGCCAAATCATAGTGAACACAAGCAAACAAACACAAAAAGGCACGGCAGTTTATATGGAGACTACTCATCAACATAAAATTCTTAAGTCTCTTACTATAACCCCTGTCAGGGGAATTAAACAATAATAATAATAATTAATAATGCCTGTTTAATGTCAGCTATGTACCAGACACATGAATGTCTTCATGAATCCTCAAATTTAATTCTCATTGAGGAGTTCCTGTGGCAAAGTTTGATCTATATTTATTGGTATTTGATTTCTCAACACAGAGGACGAGAACCCAGTGTTCACCACTTTAGATCATGTTTCAGTGCTGAAACAATGTTATGTCATCAATTACACAACTGGCAAGTGAAACTTTTCTATAAATTGTCAGTTACTGGCAAAATCTCAGGAAGAGAATCAAGTGTATACAACTGCAGGATTATCAATATTTTCAAATTATTTGTCCATCTAAACTGACATTTCTATAACTTATTTATCCAGTTAAATAAAACATTAGTCAATCTACTATATGCTAAGAATTGTACTAAGCACCGAAGATTTTTTAAAAACTTTAATAATATACTATCTATCTTCTTGAAGCTAATGATCTAGTGGGGAGATAGACTATAAAATTATCATAATACAAAATTGTAACTCTAGGACCACCAGACATTATGTGTTTCCCAATGTTATGAAATAGAAAACATAAAATATCAGACACAGTAAATTCTTTTTTAAAAATCTGAGCTAAATCTAATAAGTGTCTAGATCTGTCTTTTTCTAGAGACCATTGGAGACAGAACACATTAAGTTACACTAAATAAACACAACCTGTCAAATAAAGAACGTGGAAAATGCTACAGCATAAGTGACCCAATATCTTAAATAAATAAATTGCGTAGGAAAAAATAAATTAAAAATCACAAGATAATCAATAGGCCCACCAACTAAGTATAATATGTAGATCTTATTTGTATTTTTATTAGAACAAATCAACTACAATAAGATGGTTCTGGACACTGAAAGAAAATTGAGCATGGTCTGGGTGTTGGATACTATTAAGGAATTACTAATTTTGCTGATTGTGATAATGGTGCTGTGATTATGTTTCTTAAAAAGATTATTCTGGCCCTGGCCGGTTTGGCTCAGCGGTTAAAGCGTCAGCCTGCGGTCCTGAGAGACCCGGGTTCGGTTCCCGCTAAGGGCACGTACCTCGGTTGCAGTTTGTCCCCGGCTCTGGTCAGTCGTGCGGGTGGCAGCCACTCGATGTGTCCCCTTCACATCGATGTTTCTCTCTCTCTCTCTCTGTTCCTCTCTCTCCCTCCCATTCTACCTGAACAAAAAATGGAAAAATGTCCTCGGGTGAGGATAAAAAAAAAAAAAAAAAGATTATTCTGTCAGACAGAGAAAGACAAATGCTACATGATTTCAATTATATGTGAAATCTAAAGAACAAAACAAATGAACAATTGAAAGAGAAGCAAAGTCAGATACGGGGAGCAAACTGATGGTTGCTAGATGGGAGGGGGCTGGAGGGCTGGGTGGAAAAGGTGGAGGGATTAAGAAGTACAAGTTACAAAATAGTCCTGGGATTGTAAAGTATAGCATAGAAAATACAGATAATATTGCAATTACTATGTATAGTGCCAGGTGGGTACTAGATTTACCAGGTTGATCACTTAGTAAATGTAAATATCTAACCACTATGCTGTACACCTGAAACTAATATAAAACAATATTGAATGTCAACTGTAATTGAAAAATAAGAATAAAAGCTTATCCTGATAATTATTTGATGTTTAAAATTTGATTTAAAATCTTTCAAAAAGTTGGATAATACATTAGAAATGAGTATAATGTTATTAATTGTGAAGCTGAAAATTGTATTTCTGGTGGTTGACTGTATTACTCTATTAAAAAAAACCTGTAGCAAGTGCTGCAAAATAAATAATCTACTTTGAGGGACTATATTAAAGTGTTTTTCTGAGTCAGAAAAAGTTTTTCTGAGGAACTGTTACCTGAGCTCTCTGAGGAATCATCGTGCTATAAGGGGAGGGAACAGGTTGGTCAGAGAGTCCAAGATGAACACTTCAGCTATTCTTTGCAGAGTGTCAGAAATATTACTGGGCTCCTCATTCATACCTCCCTCCAGTGAAAACGTAAACCAGTTATGAGGAGAAGCTCAATCCCTTTCCCCAATCTAATTTTAACATTGAGTTGTCTGAAATTCAGGCATATGCTCTTCTTAGCTCTTAAACTTCCAAAAAGGAGTTATTGAGCTATGATCTTCCCAATTTGCACTGTAAATAACTGTATCCTCAGGAGTTGGCCCGCTTGTGGGCGTTCAGTTAATATTTTTGAGAAGCTCAATTGATATAGGTGGTTTGTTCATTTTATATTCTAAACTACATCCATAGTTCAACACAAATTGGTAGAAAATTTAGCAGTGACTGTATCAACAATAATGTTTTTATTCTCTCTACTCCCTCCCTCCACTCCCCACACAAGACTCTTTACTGAATTGTTCTTTGGTGTGATTCCCTCAAATATTGTCACTATCAGAAACAGCTATATGAGAAGTAATTTCTCTGTAGTAAGCATATAGTGGAAGATATTATTCCCTATATCACCAAAGTGTCATCTTTATGAAGATACACTGGGGAAATTCTTGTCAGATCTTAATAGCAGAAAAAATTATACTTAAGTTGTTTTTATCTCATGGAAATTTGGAATTGTATAATTTATAACATATTTTATGTAACTTTATAAGTCAGCTAAAATAATTTCTTAAATAATCATGGTTTAAGTAAATAACTTTACATCCTCAGTTTTTTAGCTTACTTTTTGAATTAAAAAAGGGGGGGTAGGGGACCAATATCTACAAACCTGCAGAGTCTGCTAATGGAACTCAGTAAGTAATACAGTTGGTTTTCACCTCCTCTAGATCCAATATGTGTAAAATTAGAGGGAATTCGACTGGTACTGAGTGAGATGAATGTGATTTTTTTACCTCTCTGGAGAGAACATAGCAGAACTTACTGAGTATAATGCGTGTGTGTTATCGGTGAGCCTCAACCCCAATTCCCTCTGTGTTAAGGGGGCAGCATCCCTTAAGCCAGTTACCTCTGTCCAAGAGTATCCTCACCTATTCACCCCAAATTAACACATATATAAATGTTGTCATTCTTTGTGAGTGCTAAATGTGGAAATTCTGTGGTATAAATTCATCTACCCATTATGAATTTCTTACCGTTTAAATCCAATTACAAATTTTATACATAGTCTCTAGAAACATCTCCAACTATATTTGTAATACTTATGAGTGTATAGAATTTGTAAGCTCTACGTCAAAGTTAGGAGTTTTGAGTGACTTTTCAATGCAAGGTTTTTTTTAAACCCTGTGTAGCCACATCAAGACAGCAGAGGATATCTTAAAACCATTACTCAAGAGATATGAGAGACAAAAAGAAGTGATTCCTTTATGGAATTATGATATATGTTCTAACCAAAGCAATTTTTAGAAATCTCCTATTATCTTACATTCTTCAAGACTTATTTCATCATTACAAAACCAAATAATTTTGATTTTATCAAGAGAATTTGAAAAATTATAATGTTAACATATTGTCAAGGGAAAAATTTAAGGTGTTAGAGGAATATTGTTATTTAATAGAATGTTTACCAACTGGATATTTCACAATAATCCTATACTATACTTTGAATTTTTTTTGTCAAATATGGGTAATACCAATGTCTCTGATTTACTCCTTTTATAGTTGACCGCATAGCATAAAATTATTTTGTTGAGTTGTAAGTTATACACATTTTCCAAAAGAAAAAGAAGCTTCTGGAGGTAAAAATTAGCATTTTTAAGGAGGATAAAAGCCTTCTTATAGTTATAGTCTTGAATCTACAAAGGGAAGAGGCCAGTATTACACTCATAAAATTTATTTTTAGACCAAGACCACACAAATAGAAATGAAGAAAAGATCACCAACGTCTTCTTTGGATATTTTGGATGATGCTACTCTCAGACATAAAGAAGGTAAAGCAAAAAATATATTGCAACTATGAAAGGTACTAATCATAAGATTCACTTTTATAGAAATTCTATAATTGCTACAGAATTCTATCTGATAACTAAAATTTAAAGAATAACATGAGAATATTAGGCTGAACAATTTATAAAAATTCCACATACAGTGTTTTAAACATTGGAGTTACCAAGATAGCCAAGGAATTTTTTTTAACATTGAAAGTGACATAGAAGTGGCAATTTGTAACTAAAAATAAAGCTTGGAACATATATTTAATATTAATATATTAAGGTCCTTTCTATATTGACTCTGCTTTTTTAACATATGACCAGTAACTCATTATCATGGTCAGTATTGAAAGGCATCATTTTGTAAAGCATAAAGATCTAGAAATTATAAACTATAATACTCTCAGCTATAATCTATATTTATTTTTTTACAGATACTCTTATGTTTTGCTTCCAATGCACAGTTTGTCTCATTTTTATTTGTCTAATTCAGCTAGCATGAAAAAAAGGAAATTTACTTTGCTCTGCTTATTAGTATAAAATATTTCTCTCTCTCTCTCTCTCTCTCTCTCTCTCTCTCTCTCTCTCTCTCTCTCCTAATTCCCAATCAGAAGTCTAGTTTAAAAGCTCTTTTACATGCAAAGGTCAAAATTGTCTATTAGTTAAACTTAGGAAATTTGCTAAAATTTAACTGTTCTGTTCTTCATTGCAGAACATACAAAATCTCAGAAGAGATGCCCAATGTGTTGGTATAAATTTGCTAAAATTTTCTTGATCTGGAATTGTTCTCCCTGTTGGATAAAATTGAAAGAGTTTGTCCATGTGGTTATAACGCATCCATTTACTGATCTTTTTCTCACTATATGCATAATTCGAGACATATTCTTCTTGGCCATGGAACATTATCCAATGAGTGAAGCATTCACCAGTGTACTCAGTATTGGAAACCTGGTAAGGCTCTTATTCTATGTTATTTTTATTTGCAATTTCAATTTCAATCTTTTCTAATTGTCATTATCCCATTATTTTAATTTATAACTCCAATATGTTGCAAATGGACTAGATGAAGTATTGTGTTCATGTTTCCCCATTTCACTGCCCCAAGCCCTGCTTTGTAAATGTTCCTATCACCAAATAGGTTTATATACTTAGAGTTTAAAATTCTACCATTTAAATTTGGGAGTCTTTGCTAGCTGTTTGGCAGTCAGATTAAGTGGAAAGTATTAATTTCCTCTCCTTCCTTAAGTATACCCTCTCTTGGTACCATACCCCATGGAGCAAAGTAGAGTAGAAGTCAAATAACAGACCCGAGTTCTTCACTGACACCTGATTCTGAATCCTGACCACACCTGACCCTGACTGCTCTCACCACCTGTCTTTGCCTTAGCTTGGAACTTATCCTTTGCAAGGTATTGTTGGGATTCACCTATCCTTTTCATCCCATACAATGCAAAATGCAAAACAGATTTGTGTGAATTTAAAAACAAATCACATTCACACAAATATAGAGTATTTAATTTTTTTTCTTTGTATCAGGTTGTTATTGTTTAGTTGCTTTGTACCTATACAAACAGACAAACTGCTATTAATTTTGAACTACACGTTTACTTGATACCAAAACAGTAATTTCATTATTTCTGCCAGTATAGTTTTCAAAAGGCAGTTTCCATAGGTTCATTCTGGGTCACATATGTACTTTTTAAATTCTTTTACAAGTTAAAAAATTAAATATTTTAACAAATACTCCATATACCAAAGGGAACTAACTATTCAAAATAAAAAGACTTTTCCCCCTCAAATATTCTTTCATTTTCTTACAGACTGACTTTAAAAAATATGTAATTGATGATTTTGTATATAGTGTTTGACATTAGATTATTAAATAAAATATATGAGTCTGTTGTTGTAATATAGACTGCAAAATCAATCAGATATTCACAGGAGAACTGTTAAGAATGTGGCATTGGAAAGTCACAATTTCTGTTTATGAGGGTTCTGATAGAGCTATTGAAGTCATATTATCATCCATGTGTTTTGTTTTTATTTAGGTTTTTCTTGGAATTTTTACAACAGAAATGATTTTTAAAATAATTGCCCTGCATCCATATGGGTATTTCCAAGTAGGTTGGAACATTTTTGATAGCCTAATTGTGTTCATTGGTTTAGCAGAACTTTTTCTAGTGGATGCTCATGGACTGGATTTTCTTGGACCATTAAGGGTGGTAAGTAGAATCCAAGACCTAAATTTTACTTTATGAAAATTTATTTCCGTTTTCTCAAACATAAAATGGAAAGAATAGTAAAACACGTACCACAGGGACATTGGGAGTATTAAATGGGTTAATAATATCCCAGGACCAAGTATGCAGTCTCCAGTGCTCTTATTTCACCAAAGCATTAAAGGAAATATGTAGCAACTCCGAGATGTAGTTCTAGGAAGCAGGGCCAGGGGTACTGTGCTGGTTTTGAGGAGCCCCAGAGGCTGAATGGCATTGTGTAACTAAGGAACTGGAATCAAGTATTTCTAAGTATAGGGTAGAAAACTTTATATAACACCAGTCAGGCTAGCAGAATGTTGTTGTAAAATGTATTAAGTCAGAATCAGTATATGTCTGCAATGAAGGGTGATGGTAAGAATCAGAAAACTAGGCAAGGGAATGATGTTGTTGGAATAGTACTTATGAAAATGTTACGCATTGGATAAGTAATATATGGTCACATTCCAGTAACAAGTTGAAGGAAGGTAGCAGGAATCAAGAAAACCTGTCTTAATCCTCATATAAAAAGGTTTCTAATGAGTGAGAGAAATTTATGCAAGATGTAGTTATCAAATTTATGGATGAAACAAGACTGAGAAACAAAGAAAATGTGATCAAAGATAGGATCAACATATCTGAAAGGCTAGTAACAGACTGAATATAAGATGATTAAGGTTTACATGGATAAATGCAAAGTCCTGTTCTGGAGTCCAGAAAGCCAAATCTATACTAGAAAAAGTTACAGAAGGTGTAAAGCACATATAAAAATTATATAGAGGTTTTAGAGGACCAAGTTCATTGTGATATAGTGGCTAAAATGTTAAAGTAATCTGTGGTGTATCAATAGAAATAAAAAAATGTAGTGAAAAGGGAAATATTCAGATTAAACGTAGAATGTTGTTTGGTCTTAAATGTGTTACTTTAAAAGAGAAATACACAATAGAACCTTCAGTGGACTTCAGTGGAAATTAACAGGCTTTTTTCAATATCATTTATATGTCAGAATGTGGAAAACTACCTAATGTATTATGAAAAGCAAAGCAGAATGGATAGTTGCCCTACTAGATATTAAAACATAAAACTAGAGTAATTATAACAGTATAATATTGAATGGGTATTGACAGATCAATCGAAGAGGATATGTATGGATTTTGTGTAAAAAATTATACATTGATGTATTAAATGAATTTTTAGTGGTTAATATTAACAATGCTCAATCCTGAATATTACATAAGAGTAAATATGTGAATGTATATAATGCTGACAGAAATTTTAAACATATATAATAATAAATAGTAACCAAGATTTTTTTTTTGGTATGTTGTTTCTCGTTCTTGTTTTTACATTGCTCTGCCAGTTGCGAATTTTCAAGTTGATGAAATACTGGCCGGCATTTAAAATGCTGATGCTGACTCTCGCTAAGTCACTGGTGGCCCTGAAAGACTTGATCCTGCTCTTGTTCACATTCATGTTCTTTTCTGCTGTGGTTGGCATGAAGCTGTATGGTTCGAGTTATGAAGACTACGTCTACAACTTAGACACAGACTGTCAGCACCTACGCTGGCACATGATTGACTTCTTCCACTCCTACCTGAATGTGTTCCGGATTCTCTGTGGAGAGTGGATAGAGACTTTATGGGATTGCTTTAAAATAGCAGACCAATTCAGTTGTGTTCCTTTTTACATGATGGTCATTTTAATTGGAAACTTTTTGGTAAGTAATCCATGTTTTCAAGTTTGCCTTGGGAAACTGATGTAAGATAGTCTAGTATTTTTATGATGTGGATTTATGGGATTCAGTGGTCCATAACTGTGCTGGCCAATGTGGTGGCACCTAGCCACGGGTAGCTATTGACCAGTTGAAACACGAATGGTCTAACTTGAGGTGTGCCCCACGTGTAAAATTATCCACTGGCTTTGAAGTCTTACCCAGAAAAAGAATGTAAATTATTTCATTAGTAATTTTTATATTGAATTGCATTTTTAAATAATAATTTTATATATTCAGTTAAATAACATGTTAGATTAATTTCACTTGCTTTTGTTTATGCTTTGAATGTGGCTACAGAAAAACTGCATGTGCGATGTGCATCATCTGTTCATTGGCTAGCACTGATTTATAGGCTTGCTACTCAAAGTAGCATTGGCCTCCTGTAGGAGATAGTTATCAATGCAGACACTCTGAGCCTATGGGAGCAGAATCGACATTTTAATGACATTCACAGGTGATTTGTAAACATTAAATTTTAAGAACTACATACATATAACACTAATTGTCAAACTTGGGTCCACATTGGAATTACTACCTGGGGGAATAATAAAAATATACTATACTAATGCCTTGAATCCATTCCCAAAGATTCTGATTTTCGTTGGTACACGGACATCAGGATTTTTCAGGAATCTTTATTTGATTAAATTGTGCAGCAAAGTTAAAAAACCACTGGTCTTTAAACTTGTTATGCATTAACTAAGAGAGAAAGCTTTCACTTTTAATATCCAGTAATTGAAGTGATGCTACACGAATTGAGTAAGTAGCTTTTACTTCTAAGAAAAAGGAATGGTTTATAAAAGAAAATTGTTCATATGGGGAAAAACAAAAAAACCACAGGACTCCATATTTGCTTTTTACTTATAAGTGATAAAGATTAAGTACACTTCCCAAAAGACTAAAAAAACAAACAAACAAAAACCTCACAAGCTAGACTTCACCTATTGGTAGCCTCCTCCATTGCTTCTGTTTCGCCCTGGTCGAACCCGTGTCACACACTCATCACACTGCTATTATGTTTCATTGTTGATGTATTTGTCTATCTTTCCTATTAAACTGCTCCTTGAAGGAAGGGCTTGTGACTGTTTTTTGCATCATCAAAGCCCAACAGTGCCCAACATGCAAAAATACTTTAGTATCCTCTGCCTTTGTGGCAATTAGTACATTTTCAACTCCAAGTGACATAAAACACTACATGTTCTAACTGGCTGAAACAAAAATGAGCACATATGTATCAGCATACATAACTCAAAATATCAGAGATTTTACTTCCACTGACACATATGTGCAAACAATATCTTTAGAGACAGGTCTCTGTATATCTGTTATCTGTATTTTTCTATGCCCTTTATTGGCTGGTAGCCTCTGTTTGAGCAAGAGGGTTGCTTCAGGCTAAAGCTTCAAGTCTTCCTATCATATCAAGTCTAATAGAAGAGAAAATGCCTATTTTTTTCTTACAAGTCATAGCAAATTTCTCTTATTATCTTATTAGTTCTGAGTCATATGTTCATTTTTGAACCAATCTCTATTGCCCAGGGTGTGAGATATATTAATATATATACTATGTTAGCCATTCAGAGTCCTCTCTGAGCTGGAGATGGAGTCAATACAAACCCAAATCATATGACTAATAATGGTATGAGGGTGGTTTCCCAAATGTAATCTAGGTTTCTATTCCCAAAGAAAGGGCTATGGCTGATGGCTGTTGAGGTAAACCACACACACACACACACACACACACACACACACACACACACACACTTCAAAAGCAAAGAAATGCTGAGGTAATTATATGATTGGATTTCTGGGTTTCTTTGTTTTTGGACTCCACTCTATTTCTCATTTTTCTTATTTCTATTGATCAGAAACTTCAAGTCTATGGGCAGAGGGATTTCAGGATAAAATGGAGTCATGTGAACTCCATTTTCTAATTGATCAGCTATCATATCATATTGCTTGGCTTACTAAATCTTTTAAGCTTTATTCCCTTCAACAGACATCTAGCTGTGGGGCATTTTGGTAATGACACTAGAGTAAACCCAAGGGGAAATACGGAAGGAGAGAATTTTTGATGTTGTGGATTTGTTTCCCACATACTTCCAACTCATTGTACTATAGCATTGTAATTTCACACCAAACCTACAGCATAGGTATAAAAGAAAGGTATTCAGAATGTTTAAAATTTAATTTTATCTTACCCACCCAAAAAATTCCAATAATGATTTACGTGCTTAAGTGAAAATCTTTTTTTTAAAAAGTATATACAAAAGCAAATATCTAAAGTGCAGTTATAAATACAGAGTTCAGGTCCAAGCAAAAGGTTCAAATTTTAGTTCTATTACTTACCAGTTACATGACTTTTGTGCATATTACACAGCCTCTTAAACCCTGCCAATATCTAACATGAGAATAAAGATAACCATAATGCATGCCTTATAGGGATACTTAATTACTTCAGCAAATCTTGAATTTTCTTTCTCTTCCATACTACCTTATTTTGGTATGAGTTGCTCAATTCTCACATGATAGGTAGCTATCTATGAAGTAAGGAAGAGAGCAAATTTCAGGGAACACTTCTGAATGTTTTGTTTTATATATGTTATTTCACCTTTTATCTCAACACAAAAGCAATAAATATGTGTTTTGAATCTAGTTCTGACACTATGACTGAAAGTAACCCTAAGTTTTTATAATATAATTTTTCTCCCATCCTTCTTTATTAATTCATTCTTTATTAATCCTCAAATTAGAAGAAGTAATCAAACCTCTACAGCTTTAGTCATTTACTCATCCTAGCTTTCCTTTCCAACCCTTCAAGAGACCAGGCTAGTTTAAATTCAGAGCCCACTTGAACAAAGCAAGAACACTCTATAGTGCTTAAAAGTTCATCTGTACCATGGTTCCAGAGTATCTTGAACTTCATTTTTAGCCTTTTAACCTTCCTATTATATGTGTATGTATGCATGTATATGTTTGTGTGTGGGTATGTGTGAATGTGTGTATATAAACCTGTGATATAAGAAATCTTAGATTACAAGTTTTTTTTTTAAATCTTTATTGTTGAATGTAAAATGTATTACAGATGTTCCACATTTTTCCCCCATTGACCCCCTCCTCCCCACTCCCGTCCCCCTCCTGCCTTTTCCCACACTATTGTCTGTGTCCATTGGTTATGCATATAAGTTCTTTGGTTTATTTCTTCCCACTCCCCAACCCCTTTCCCTTTGAGGTTTGTCAGTCTAGCAATGAATTTGTACTTCCTAATCCCTTCACCTTTTTCACTCATTCCCCCAACCCCCCTCCCATCTGGCAACCAACAAAATGTTCTCTGTATCTATGAGAATGTTTCTGTTCTACCTGTTCATTTTGTTTGTAGATTCCATTGTTGATAGATATGTATTCATTGCCATTTTGTTTGTTCATATATTTTATATTTTTCTTCAAAAGACCCTTCATCATTTCATATAATAATGGTTTGGTGGTGATGAACTCCTTTAACTTTTTCTTGTCACACTAAGACACATCATTATCAAAATGCAAAAGGTTCAAGACAAAGAGAGAATCTTAAAAGCAGCAAGAGAAAGGCCGCTAGTTACCTACAAGGGAGTTCCCATAAGGCTGTCAGCTGATTTCTCAAAAGAAATTTTGCAGGCCAGAAGGGAGTGGCAAGAAATATTCAGAGTGATGAAAAGCAAGAATCTACAACCAAGATTACTCTATCCCGCAAAGCTGTCATTTAGAATCGATGGCCATATAAAGACTTTCCCAGATTAGATTGCAAGCTTTTAAAAATATAATTGTTGTAGAATAACTTTTCCTTATCCAAATTCTGGCACAAAGTCTATTCTTTCATTTATTCTACAATTAATGCATTTTTCAACAAATATTTATTTATCACTAACACTGTGCCTAGCACTGTGCTAGTTGTCTGCTTAAGAGAAAATGTGGTTCCTGCTCATATGAAGCTTATAGTCATGAAATTCTTACCGAACATCCTTTTGTTATCTGTCACTGTGCCTAATACTTAACCAAACCAAGGAGGGGAAAAAACACAACCAACTACCTCAAATTATATTTGGCCATGTCCTCTTATACCTTGAACTTACTGCTTTTAGAGAATGACAGAGAGGCTCATATTGTAGATTCTATAAGAGTCATGGAGCACTTCCCATATTATCTATATGTAGGCCTTATTGTCAAGTGAGACACAAGTGTGAGAACAGTCATATGAAACTCTGGGCATATTGGCATATTAATCTCTATATTTTGTTGTGGTTCATTGTTGTTTTTTTCAGTTTGCCCTTTGGGATTCTGTCATAGGTTATAGAAAATATGTCCATTGTTCAGTTGATCTCACCAGTAAGAAATTTCCAGTTTTGAGGTATCTTGTACTCTGCATTTTATTGCTCCACCAAAATATGGTTAAGAGTACAAGGATCTATTTGATGACCTTAATATCTGCAATAATGTTTCTGTTTTCCATATGAACCTTATTTGAACTTTATTCCTCTATAGATGAAGATGTAGGTATAGAGAAGTAAAAGCAGTCCGTTGGGATTGAACACTATATTGTGGCAGTTCATATTCTCTCAGGTGTGTGTACACATGAGAAAGACAGTAATTATCAGAGTATCTGAGAACTTCATCTCTTTACATAGATCCCAAATTCTGAAAGAAGCTTTAATAAATGAATATTTGGAGATCTTTATAGACTTACTTTATTTTGTGTACGCATTAATTGTCAGTATAATTATTTTAAGAGTAGATCTTAATGTGTAAAGAAATCAGAAACAGAGGCAGGAAAATGTTATGTAAGTTATATATACAGCAGTTTCTTCAATAACGTCGTTTAGTTTAACGTCGTTTCGGCCACCCACCTGTGACCCTGAAGTAGAATAAGCGGGTTGGAAAATAATTGTCTTACTTGTTTTCATTAATATTTTGTAAATGTATGTATATCTCACATTATTGTATTGTTTACTATTAGAAATGTTTTGGATCTTTATTTAGAAGTTTGGTGATGTTTTGTGACCAGAAATATGCTGTAGGAATTTAGCTCTTGTTCATACCAATTTGCCTGTGGTAAAATTGGCTTTGTTATATGTTATTTCACTTAACAGTTTTCAAGAACCTATGAACAATGTTAAATGAGGACTTACGGTATACATATGCGTAAACATAATGCATGCCATTTGAACTTTGCCCTCTAAAAATATGTAAAGCATAAAATTAAATCTTTAAAGAAGAGTAGAAATGTCTATAATAGACAAAATGCTCAAATTATTACTTTAAGTCTAAGAGAATAATCAATATTAATCTTTAACACTAGAAGCTAAAAATATCATCTATAGCCTACAATTACAAACAAGATAAAAATTTGATTCTCTGGAAACTGAACATGCTTTGATCATATTTCTTAGTGCTAGTAAAGATAAAAAATACATTACCCTTGAGTTTGAATAACTTGCAAATATTACTAATAATTCTATCACATATCTTTTTCATATTTGGCCAAATTTATTACCATAAATAATCAATCAGCCTACATAATTCGTGTGCTTGCATGTGTCAAGAAAAATTAGATGTAGGCTGCAGAACCAGGAAGAGACCCCTCCCAGTAAGATTCCTTATGAGTTTGCAGAATCCATGAAGATGTCATTATACCTCTTCCTGGGACAGAACTGAAGTAAGCCACCTGGACTAGCAATTCATTTCTCACCTTGTGAGAGGCAACTTGGTTCAGTGAAAGAAAACAAGCTTTGGAATAAGATCCACTTGAATTCAATCTGTGTGACCTTTGATATATACCATCTATAAACGTTGTATTTTTCCTCTATAAAACAAAAACAAATATTTCATAGCATGTTGTGACCTTAAGATTTATCTCGCTATACAAACCTCTAGCATAGCACCTGACCCATTCATTGTAGATGAGTAAGAACTGAATAGCACTGTAGTTCATATGCTGTTTTCAAATCTCAGGTCAGCCTTTTCTAAGGATTTTCTTATTGCTTAATGGGAAACAAAAAATAAGGTACACTTAACTTCATTTACTTCTTCATTTAGATACTTTACCTGTTTCTGGCATTGGTGAGCTCCTTCAGTTCATACAGTGCTGCAACAACTGAAGAAAATGAAGAAGCAAAGAATCTGCGGCTTGCGGTGGCAAGGATTAAGAAAGGAATAGACTGTGTGCTTTCTAAAATAGTGTGTAGAAGACGAAATGTTCCCAAGGACACAATAGGCAATGTAAATGATCCACCTGTTACAGAGAATATTTCTGACCATAACCTTTCTGAAGTGAGCACCACCCAAGATTTCCTCAAGGACAAGGAAAAAAGCAGTGGCACAGAAAAAAACACAATGACTGAAAATGAGACTCAGTCTCTCATCCCTAGTCCTAGTGTCTCTGAAACTGTACCCATTGCTTCAGGGGAGTCTGATATAGAAAATCTGGATAATAAGGAGATTCAGAGCAAGTCGGGTTATGGCAGCAGCAAAGAGGTAAGATATTTCAATATCCTGATTGCTTGTTATTGATTTCGGGCATTGATGATAAGAAGGTGAATCAACACTGAAGTTTCAGAGTTAGATCACCTGTTCAGTCCTAGCAATACTACTCCTTGCTCCTGATTTTATGCTCCTAATCAAGCTACTTAAACTCTCTAAACTTCAGTTTACAGATGACGATAAAATTGTATCTATTTCTAAAAGAAGATATAAAGATAAAGAACAATATTTCTGTAGTGCATATAACAATATATAATAAACACTGTGTAAACATTAGATAATATCATTATTAAATTCTATAAATGAATAAGCAGGCAGTGTGGGGTGATGAAAAGCATTGTGAAGAAAACTATGTTTACAAAATCAATTTGTATTACTGAAGAAATCATTCAACTTTCCTGGACATCTTTAAAATGTGAGATTGGATTGCAATACCACTAAGATACTTTCTTGCTTGCTAAAATTCTAAGTTTTTTGTTAGTTCATTTCTGCAACATATATTATAACATATGTAATTGAATTGGACTTAAAGAACAGAGAGAAACCAACAGTTTGATTTGGGAACAGTTTGTGGCTTTATAAACTCCTGGACAAAAAAGGTGGGACAGATTCAAAGAAGGGTAGCTATTGCTGTTAACTTGCTTTTCACATGCATACATACACCCTAGCGGATACAGTTTTATTGTCTTCATTTGCAAGCAGCATAATGAAGTCTTAGTAGGAGATATAGTTTAATAGAAGGCTACATCTACACAGATCACAATGGCACTGTGGGCTTCTTTCACTGGCCCTCACTAGGGACTCACTTCAGATTACTCATAGACACCAGAGAGGGGGGGTCAAAGAATGCCTCATTCCACCTCCCCAAAGTCTCTGGCACTATTTTGTCTTCCAAACCTCTTCTGGCTTGACAGTTGCTCTGGCCTTATCATAGGAGTTGAGTGTTAATTATTCAAAGTCTTTCCAGCTCTTAGTGAAGGCATCTTTGTTTTTAGGGAAACTTTGACTACGTAGCATACTCAATCTCAAGTTCATTTTTCTTTAAATAATATCATTATGAGAAAACAGGAGAAAATTCCTCTCTAGCACAATTCTGTATCTTCACTTAAGACTTCGACTACCACCCATGTCTAGGTAAAATTGCTATCTGTCACAGCACATTGTGTGAGATGTTCTAGAAAATTCTTTTCTACATCTCATTAAAAAGTCTGGGATATTGAAATGTAAAGGAAAGAAGGAATTAAATATAAATCTTGAGGTTGTAGAAGTTGCAATTTGCATAGTTATTTGATCCTATTGATTGGTTAACTACTCATAGATCTGTTCACTTATTTGTATGTTTAGTTATGTATTTAATTTAATTAGATACTTTCCAGATTACATAGCCCATGAATACTTAGGATGTTGATCTACCAGATGCCAAAAAATAAAATATAAAAATCACATGTTATTTCATAATTCAGAGATATATGCTCATTTCTTTGGTATTTAAGCACTTATCCTTTTAAATTACAAATATGTAACTGTAATTTTTTTTAAATAACATCAAAGTTTAAATTGGATTTTATAACTTTCCACTGTATAGCAATATATCATGGTCATTTTTTCATGCCATTAAATAATCTTCTACTAAAATAAATTATTTATAATTTTAAATCTTAATGGATTTATTTGTAAATTTAAAATAATATATACTAAAAGAAGTCTGGGGAAAAATTACATCAAAGAGTTTGGGGCAATGGTTTTAAGAATTCTTAAAAAACATATGAAGTATATAATTTTCAATGATTGAATACCCAAACATTATATAACATTCATATATTTATTTTCTACCTCTAAATCAGTGAATAGCCATAGCTTTTAGTTCATCAGAAATAAAGAAAAATTAAGAGAAATAAAACACTAAAAATGATTTGTATATTTAAGAGTAATATTCTGTTGGATATATTTTTTAATTGAGCACCATGACGTCTTACTGACAATTACTATTAAAGTTTCAGCAAACAAAGCTTCCTAATTATGTTTCATTGACATTTACTGTGCATAAGACCAAGAAGTAGGACAAAATATTTATAATTTCCTTTTTTATATACTCTATCTAGAGCTTTTCTTAATTTTTAAGAACTAAGACTGCTTTTCTTCCAAATGTTTTAAATACTTACCTTAATTTTTAAATTGAAAAATAATGTTATGTGCTATGAACTTTAGGGTCTTGGTCATTTTAAAGGATGGTATGTTGTATGTCCACTTTTCAATAAGGTAAAATAAAGCGCTGTGAGAAAATCATTTCAAGTAAAGACCAAGCATGCCACTTACATTATTATCACATGTACGAAGTCGTGACTACTTTATCCTAGCCAATGTTCAAGTTCAGTCAAGAATGGAGTGAGAAAAAATGTCAATCTCTGTAACTAGCCTTTTTGCCTAGTCCTGGTACAACTTTCCCAGGTCTATCCTTGACCCTATTCCTTGTACCATTTATTCATTTCACTTCCGGATAACTTCACATCAGTCTCATCCTGTAATGGCATAAGAATGTCTGGATTAGATTCTACAATATACACTAAGTACACTCTTGTCTACCCATCTTTAGCATCAAGGGGTGATTTATTCTGACACTATTCATCTAACAGAAATAACATACTGGGGACTTTGTGAATAACTTCAAGAAAACTTTGGAACTAAAATATTTTTGGAAATTGGAGATAACCTATACATCATTTTGGAGAACAGTGTTATTAACTAAATGTTAATTTTAATGTAAATATTACTTTATCTTAAATTAATTTAAAATAATTTTTCTAAACCATCAATCACAGAGATATGTATGTTCTTTTTAATATTAATTGATATGGTTTTTATGTGCATATTTTTATTTCCAAAAATGAAGTAAACTTTACAGTGAGTAAATGAAACTTTATTCACATTTTTGGTGGGACTTTACTTTTCAGAAGGTAAAGCCATCTAGCTCATCCGAATGCAGTACGGTTGATATTGCTATCTCTGAAGAAGAAGAAATGATCTATGAGCATGAAAAGCCAAGGCATCATAAAAACAGTAAGGAAAAAGTTTCTTTGGTTATCATATTAAATTTAGACTAAATTTCTCTTAACCTAAATAATACTATTGGATCTGTTTTTAATTTTAGAAAACTTATTAATTTGGGTAAGGAATGCACACAGTGTGTGTGTGCATACACATTTGCACATGAATTCTGATAGAAAATTAAAATGTCAAGAAAAAAGTCACCATTTGGACAAAAGGAAATGGGCCTATTTCCTAGGGAGTCTAATGCAGTAGTTGAGAGTGGGCTCTGGAATCCGACAGCCTGAGTTCAAATCCCAGACCTCTATTTTACTTAGCCTCTCTCTGACTCATTTCCTAATATGTAAAGTGAAGATTATGATAAAACTTACCTTATAAGATTGTAAAAATGATTGAATTAGGGGTATGTATTTTTATGCCTTGTGGAAGGGAGTCAACATTTAAATATGTATATGAAAACATTCTATAACTTTCATAGGAAAACAAATCATGTAATAATGATACATTTTTACATTCCACATTAAGAAATGTATAAGGCTTTAGTTGGTTGATTCACTAGATATGTAACATACATCTCTTGATGACTTATAATTAAAATTAGTTTCCTAGGAAGATTAACAAATGGCTGCAGGTTTTAGACCTTTAAAATCACTGGAAAGCATCAAAATGGAAACTGCCAAATGCTCAAATACCTATATTCAAAATAAGAATCTGCTCTCAGTAGCTTGAGTTGTAGAACTTGTATCATCCAAAATGAGGGAAGAAATGTGTCCTAGATATATATATATTTTTTGACCAAAGACATATAAATTGACATTAGGTAAAATTCTAAAATAAAAAGTGTTGACTTTAAACTCCACCCACCTTCATTTCTTCATTTTCTTACAGGTAAATCATTCCCTCTCCTTAGGTTTCCTTATGCTAACTCTCCTGATGACATAAGGTTGAGTTCAATAGCCATGCACATCTGCCCTACTCACAAAGTACTCCACAATTCAGGTTACCTCCTTAGATAGCCTCAGACAAAATTCTCATTCCCATGTCTTCTAAGAACTGAGATCAATTTAACAGATTGAACTGATATCCCTCTTAATCTTTTATAAGTATTTGTGAATTTAAATGGCAATGCTTGTTATACTATGTGAATCTTCAGAGGATTAATTTTCAGGCGTCGTACAATGTGATATTCAGAAGATGATGAAAGTGTGTGTATTTTTTTTATAATTGATAAATTCTATTCTCAGACTCTGTCCTGCAGGCTTAGGGAATGTGCTGAGTCATCTCTGCCTTTCACAGTTGATTTTAATTACCAAACTCACAAGTGTTTTTTGTTTGTTTTGTTTTTCTCAGTGATTGTAGTGTTCAGTACAGCATGGGTAAAAATCAAATGCTTGTAAGTCAGAGACCACCTATATTAGATTCTGTAAATAACTAACTGAAAGCAGATGGTAGAAACTTTGAGATGTTTATTCTTTTATGAATTTTCAAGATTTTTTTTCCTTAACAATTTTATTCTTGACAGGTTATGAACGTAGATCTTTACCAGGTCAAATCAGTAGAGAATCCAAGAGAAGAAAAATTTGGCAAAACATAAGGAAAACCTGCTGCAAGATAGTAGAAAACAGTTTCTTTAAGTGCTTCATTGGCCTTGTCACTTTGCTCAGCACAGGAGCTCTGGTAAGTGAGAATATGTGAAATTTTTATGGGAAAGGTACATTCGAAGTCTGTTAATTTGTAAGGTCACCATGCCAAATTAGTTTCCCTCATAATACTTACTATAGCACCAAAATTCACAGTCTGTGATTTTAATTTTGAAGGACATAACATCACAGTTTCTTTAAAATCTCTATAGGTCTCATTTAACATTAAATTAATAATACAATATCAAACTATATGAATGACAGTGGGAAAAAGGAATGTTAAAAGTTAGTTAATTCTTCTTATTTTAATAAAGTTTCATATGAGAAACAAGGGCTTCCGGTCAAGATGGCGGAGCAGGTAAACGTGGTACTTGCCTCCTCCCACAACCGCATCCAAAGTACAACTAAACTACAGAACCACCATCGTTCAGAACTGCCTGAAATGTAGCTAAACAGAAGTCCTACAACTAAGGATATAAAGGAGAGGCCACATTGAGACTGGTGGGAGGGACCGAGATGAGGAATGGGCTGGTCCCACACCCTCCTACGGCAGATTAAAATCGGAAGGGATATCTTGGCTGCAGAGATTACCCCTGAGGAGCCAGTGGTCCTAGCACCACACCAGGCCCCAGCCCAGGGTCCCAGTGCCAGGAAGAGAAGTCTCCACAACTTCTGGCTGTAAAAGCCAGCGGGGATTGTGGCTGGGTGAGACAGAGACTGCAGTCCCGGAGCTCCTCTTAAAGGGCCCACACGAGGACTCAGACTCTGAGCTCTGAGCTCCAGCACTGTGGCAGCACCTTCAAAGGCACCAGGACGTACAGGGAGGAACTGATTATCCCGTATCAGGGCAGAGCGTGAGGGACAGCTTTCTCCCAGACAGAAGTGCTGGCAGAGGCCGTTGTTCCTTTTCAGAGCCCTCCCAGACAGAGCGGCCGCAGGGGCCGTATCTGAGTCTCCATCAACCTCGCCCCACCCTGGTGACTCCCTGAGATCTCACCCCACCCAACTTGTGGGTGCACCCAAGCTCTTTCCGGTGGCTTTTCCATATGAATGGTCTGTCTTGGTTTATGATTCATATTTTCCTAAAATCTCTCAAACAAGCAGCATCTGGCCTCCATGTGCCCGGTACTGCTCACTAAGTGGGCCCGGAAGTAGCAGCAGCTGGTCTCGGTTCACAGGTTGGCCTTCCCTGGGCACCCCCAAGTAAAGCACAAGTAGCAGCCATCTACATATCACTTTGTAACTCATGCCAGGTGGCCCCAGGCAGACCACAGGCAGCAGCTGACCTTGGCTTGCCCCTCCCAGCAGGTCCCAGAACCAGCACAACTGCTGGACAGCTTCAGATGTCGATGCAGCAGCCAACCACCTCCACAGGCGACACATTGTTGAGGTTTTCATCATAACTGAACATCCTTATGTTTTGAACTCTACATCTAATAGATTGCTTGTCTCCATTTTGTTTACTTCTCTTTCTGGAATTTTGTTCTTTTCTTTCATTTGGGGCATGTTTCTTTGTCTTCTCCTTTTGGCTGCCTTCCTGTGTGTGTTTCTATATATTAGGTAGATCTGCCACATCTCCTAGGTTTGGTTGAGTGGCCTTATGTAGCAGGTGTCCTGTAGGGTCCAGTGGCACAGCCTACCCATTCACCTGAGAAGGGAACTCCAGGTGTGTCCCCCACATACCCTGTGGGCTGTGTACACCCTCCTGTTGTACTTGTGACTTGATTAGTGTTGGCATGTCAATGGGAGAAATTTACCCCCAGGCTCATCAGCTTCAAGGACTGGTTGCAGTCGCTGTGGAGAATCAGCTGTGCAGGGGTCCACCCCACAGAGTGGGTCTTACTTCAGTAGGACTCTGGTGGGTGCTGAGTCTGCTCTTCTGGTAGTTACAGAATAGTCACAGGAATGTAAAGTACAGCATAAAGAACATAGTCAATAATATTATAATACCTATGTGTGGTGTCAAATAGGTATGAGATTTATCTAGATGATTACTTAGTAAGTTATGTAATATGTAATCACTGGGTTTGTACAGTTGAAACTAATATATTGTATTTCAACTGTAATTAAAAAAACAAAAATAATTTTAAAATTAAATAAGTCAAATTAAAAAAATAGAAAAGAAAGTTTAATAATGAATACATACAAAACGAATGTGTTAATACTTTGGTACCTATTTAGTATATATATTTACCCATTAACCCAACAATCTTAACTCTGTGAAATTATCCTACAAATAACTGAACATATACTAAATGGAGAATTTTTTATAATAGCAAAAGATTGAAAAGCAAAAATAGTCCATAATAGGTGTTTACAGGACAATCATCCAATGGGATACTGTGCAGCTATTTTAAAAGTGCAGGAGCTATATGTATGCTGATATTGCAAGACACGATAAGACGTGAAAAAAAAAAAAAAAAGATCTAGAATACAGTGTATGACATGCTACATTTTATGTAGGAAAGGAAGAAAAATAAAATGTATTTTATTTGCTTCATTTGATTAAAGGAGATCAGAGAAGAATACGTGAGAAATAGTTAACTATGAGATACACGGAACAGGGGGAACAAATATATATATATATATTTTTTAAATCCTCATCCAAAGATATTTTTCCATTTATCTTCAGATAGAGTGGGAGGGAGGTAAGGGGGCGGAGAGAGAGAGAGAGAGAGAGAGAGAGAGAGATCAATGCGAGAGATACACATTGATTGTCTGCTTCCCACATGACCCCAACCAGAGCTGAGGACTAAACTGCAACCGACGTACATATCCTTGACTGGAATTGAACCTGCAACTCTTTGATCTGTGGGCTGATGCTCTAAGCACTGAGCAAACCAGCCAGGGCTGTATATATATAAAATCCTCACCTGAGGATATTTTTCCATTTTTCTTCAGAGAGAGAGTGAGAGGGAGGGAGAGAGGGAGAAACATCTGTGTGAGAGACACACTGACTGTATGCCTCCCTCATGATGTACCACAACTGAGGTACGTGCCCTCGATCAGAATTGAACCCGCGACTCATTGGTCTGGGGGCCGACGCTCTAATCACTGAGCCAAACCGGCCAGGGTGGGCTGCATGTATTTTTAAGTAGACTTTATATTGGCATTTATTACACATTCTGAACAAATAATAAATGTACAATATAAAAGATTTTCACAAAGTGAACGCATCTGTGCGATTGTCACTTGGTTGAGAAATAGAGCATTACCAGAAATTCAGAACCATACTCTGACCCCTCTCCATTTAGAATTTCAGTAGCCAGTATGTGCAATTCAACTGCCATAGATTAGCTTTGCCTATTTTCTAAAAAGTTTAATTAGAGTGGAGACTTCTGTACATCTTTTTATATTGTTTTGCATTACATACCTATTCAATAAATAAATATGCATAATAAAATAAAATTTTTAAAAATAACTTTAGATGATACAATTTTTTTATTTAGCCTCCATTATGATTTGTTTTTATAGACACTTTTACTCCATAATTGGTTCATTTAAGTCAGTATCTATATTGTTACTTTATATTTACTTCTGTTTAACAGTAGGTTTATAAAAATCACACCATTCTTTGCATAAGATTATTTTAATCCTTGTCTAGGTTTTAACCTTGAATAGACTTTGATACAAATCTGCCTGAGATTATTGGTACTTTGTTGCCTTTGTCAGTGCTAAAATAAAAGCACTTTTAAGTTGCTATGAATGACATTAGCAAACTTTGCATCCCCCACAGGAAAACTAAGGTTGGCTTATTAAAACTGAAAAGCTTTCGAGAAACTATCATAGTTTTACTTCATACTTATGTGTTTCCACTGGTGTACCTAATTGTTTCTGCAGTGAAACATGCTTTGTGACGTTTTCTTATAATAGCAGTATGGATTTCTGAAAACAATTTTTAAAAAATATCTGCTCCGTTATTAGCAAGCAGCATATGTCTGTGAGTTGCCTACATAGAATTAGAGATAAGAACCATGTCAGGCGTGACTGAAAATTCTGCCTCTTATATTAAATTTGATTAACTTATTTGGGTCACTATTTAGAACAATTATCACACCAAGTTCAATCTCTAGAAGAAGTGGCTGTGGGATCAATTAATGATGTCTGTTACAGGCACTGGATGGGAAAATGATATGTGTGGGTTATGTGAATAAATTCAAACTAAGTGAACCAGCTCTTGAGACTAGAACCTGTGACTTAGCTCACCGTCTGTTTACTAGAGATGGCATTCCGTGCCTCTCATGCCAAAAGACTTTTTAGAGATTACATGTATGCTCATCTTTACATTTTTTTCCCACAGGCTTTTGAAGATATATATATAGATCAAAGAAAGACGATAAAAATCTTATTAGAATATGCTGACATGATCTTCACTTACATCTTTATTCTGGAAATGCTTCTAAAGTGGATGGCATATGGTTTTAAAGCTTACTTCGCTAATGGCTGGTACAGGCTGGACTTCATGGTTGTTATTGTACGTATGTATGTCAAACAAAATGTCAAAGCTATTTGATTTGCTGTTCTTTATTTCTTTTTATCCTCCCCTGAGGACAGTTTTGTATTTTATCTTCAGATAGAGTGGGAGAGGAAAGGGAGGAAGAGAGAGAGAGAGAAACATCGATGTCAGAGAGACACATGGAGTGGTTGCCACCCACATGACCCCCACCAGGGCTGGGGACAAACTGCAACAAGGCACGTGCCCTTGGTGGGTGGGAACCGAACCTGGGACACTGGTCTGAGGACCGACGCTCCTGCCGCTGAGCCAAACCGGCCAGGGTGCTGTTCTTTCTTTACTCTCATTCTTTCACTGTTCCATTTACTTTATTCCCTCTCCATACATTTTGAGTCACCGACATCTTATATTTCTTCATTTGGAATGTTTCATGTCTATCATTCTCATTCCAAAACTTAAAATTCAGCACTTTATTCCTGGATTATTCTAATAGTCACCTATGTATCCACTGCTAACAAAATAGGCTTATTGCACAATATCTGGAAAATATCAGCCTTCTAAAATATTTAAATTCTGTTTGTTCAACTTTCAAATTATGTATTCAAAATGAGAATACTTATCATCACCTTCACCAGTACCACACCAATCCCAGCAGCCAGAAATTCTCATTTCGATCACTGCAGTAGGTTCCAAACTGACGTTCCTGCTTCCACTTTCATTCTGTTCTCCACGTAGCAACCACGGATTCTTTACTGCTGTAAAACGGAAGTCAGCGCAAGTCACTGCTCTTCTTGAAACCGTCCAATAAACACTCTGTCTCACTCAGAGTAAAAGCTCCAGTCTTTGCAAACAAGGGCCAACAAATCTCTACGTAATCCAATCCTCTATCCTACTACTCTCCTTTCTGCCCCTCATCCCGTTCTGTGGACGGTGCCACAGACACTGGCCTTGAAGCATGTCCTATATGCCAAGATTACTTGCAGCTTAGTGCCTTTGCACTTATTCTTCCATCTGCCTGGACATTTTGCTGGCTCACCTCATTTATGTCTGCTTAAATGAAACTTTGAAGTTAGGTCTATCTGCACCACCTTAGTTAAAACTGCAGCAGCTCCAATAATTGCTTTTCCTTTCTCTGCTTTCTTCGTCTCCAAAGCATCTACCAATATTATATAATTTTTATTTATTTACTTGTTAGTTAGTCCTCATCTGAAGATATTTTTCCATTGATTTTTAGAGTGGAAGGGAGGGAAGGAGAGAGAGAGAGAAAGAGATAGAGAGAGGGAAACATTGATATGAGAAAGACACATAAATTGGTTGCCTCTTGCATGACCCTGACTGGGACCAGGGATCAAACTTGCAACCCAGGTACGTGCCCTTGACTGGGAATCAAACCGGAGACCCTTTGGTCCGCAGGCTGATTACTGAGCCTCACCAGCCAGGGTATATGTATTATATAATTTATTAATTGATTTTGGTTATTGCTTCTCTTCCCTTACTGATAGATAAGTCCTATGAGGACACAATATTTTTTCTCAATTTGGTTCTCTCTTTATCCCCTATTCCTAAAATAATTCATGTTACATGGTAGATATTGAGTAATTTTTGCTGAATTGAACAAACGGCTCCCTATTCTATAAGCAATGATTGAAGCTTCTCAGTCTATAAACAACAACTTAAAATATGTGACCTCTGTCTTCTAAATTATTTCTTGAAAATTAACCTCTTACTCCAACCAAACCAGACTGCAACTCACCTTCCTTGTTCTTGTGTCCATATTTCTCCATGCTGAGGTAAATGATACCCTTACTTAATGCCGACTTCAAGACCATCTGTTTAGTATAGGGTAAAAAAGAACGCATTTTTTTCATTTATGTTGCTTTGTAAATACAGAATATATGAAGGTACAATAAAAGTTAATCATAACTATACTACCATGTTCAATCTCGGTTAACATTTATTAAACCTCAGTCATTTTTATGCATATATGTTTACTTTAAAAAATAACCTTACTACCTTTCTATCCTTTGTACTTAGCAATATTCATATGCTTCTTGATGCCTCTCCTCTAAAATCTAATTCTCTATATTGTCTTAACTATATTTATATACAGATGCACATGTAAATATATTCCAAATTTTGTTTTAATGAATAAATTGTATACTATTACTATATTGAAAATAATCATGAACCTGATTTTTAATCTCATTTCAAACTAAAATTAGATATAAATATAATCCTTAATTATAAAGAATATCAAATAAATTTTGTCTATTTCAGTGACATGTATTCTTACTACTAGAAAATATTTTAAAATCTTTCTAAAGTGATTTTAACACAAAATTGTTTCTAAGTTATTTTGAAGATGTATTGAAATATATATTAACGCTTTGGCATATTTTTTGTTGTCATTGACTGTATCTTTCTCTAATAAATACAAAGTTCCTTTTATAGATTCTTTTTGTTAAAGTTAAAATTAAATCCTGTTCTTTATTTTTCATATATCTAGGTGTTTTGTCTTAACTTAATAGGCAAATCCCGGGAAGAACTTAAACCACTTATTTCCATTAAATTTCTTCGTGCACTTCGAGTTCTGTCTCAATTTGAAAAAATGAAGGTAAGAGAAAAATTTTGAAACAAATATATAATTTCTAATTTAAAATTACTAAATTTCTACAGATGTAGAACTTTGTAATCTCTTTGTATCTTTAACAATGCGAATACAAAAACTTTATATTCTACTACTTAAAGTTTAGAAGAAAGGTATATTAGCTCTGCTTATTAGGATTGCTCATAAGATATGAAACTAATTTAAAAAAGAAGAAAAGAAAAACCCTACTATTTGAAAGAAAATATTTTCGGCAGAAATCTACTTGGCTTGTGACTTCCCCAGGACAAGCCTCATTCCTAAGTTACCTTGCTTATTAAACCCCTGTACAGGGCTAGTTTTGAATTTAACCAGGAGAACTCCTAAGGTTGTGAAGCAACACACACCTCTTGGATCAACGGCCCAGCCTGTGCTGCGCCTCACAGGGCCTTTGGAGCCCCGGGGCCCAGCAGAGGCCAGCACGGGTCCACCCTGCGCGTCCTCATCCAACAGCATTTGCTGCCCCGCCCCCCCCCCCCCGCCCCCCGCCGCACCCCTGGAAAGGGGCCACTGCCCAGCAGGCGGAGTGACCCCTGGCGGCCCTCGCTACACTTAGTCCCCTCTTTGCCCGCAGTTTCCTGTTCGTACTGTATTTCTCAAACTTTATACATAATTTCCTGCTATTTAGGTATATGTCTTAGAAATGTTTTCATCGTTTATTATTGAAAGAGCCTAGAAAAACAGAAAAAATGTATCTATGCAGGCTGATCACAAATGTTTGGTGTGATCTTTAAACACATACAGACACAGGGTTTTTAGGCAAAATACAAGCCATGACATAGAGACTGGAGAATTGAATTTTAGACTTAGGCTCAAGTTTTGAAGAAGAACTGTAATTGTCTCCTGTGCCGCCTGAAGAGATGTATTTAGGCTTTCTATTATTGCCATAATTTTTTCAGTTTCTAGAAATATGCAAAAGAATTGTGGAATCATCATTAACAATTAAATAATAACATACAATTATTAATGTGCCTGGCTAACTATTATAAACAACGAGTCACTTGTTACACAGAAAATATTTGGTTCACTCCCTATTAAAGGGGGTTAAGTGAATAGTTGTTCATATAATGTGATTGCTATATAAAAAAAGCACAAGAATGTATATTACTTACATGCTTTTAAGAAGTGAAGCCCACCCTGGCCGGTTTGGCTCAGCGGTTAGAGCGTCGGCTCCGCTAAGGGCATGTACCTCGGTTGCAGTTTGTCCCCAGCCCCGGTCGGTTGTGCGGGTGGCAGCCACTCGATATGTTCCTTTCACATCAATGTTTCTCTCTCTCCCTGTTCCTCTCTCTCCCTCCCACTCTACCTGAACAAAAAATGGAAAAATGTCCTCAGGTGAGGAAAAAAAAAAAAAAAAAAGAAGTAGTGAAGCCCTGGCTAGTTTGGCTCAGCGGTTAGAGCATCAGCCTGTGGTCCAGAGAGGCCCCGGTTCAGTTCCCGCTAAGGGCCTGTACCTCAGTTGCAGTTTGTCCCAGGCCCTTGTTTGGTCATGTGGTGGCAACCACTCGATGTGTCCTTTTCACATCAATGTTTCTCTCTCTCTCTCTCTCTCTCTCTCTCTCTCTCTCTCTCTCTCTCTCCCTCCCTCTCTCCCTCTCACTCTATCTGAACAAAAAATGGAAAAATGTCCTTGGGTGAGGATTAAAAAAAAAAAATTGAAATGTAAAAAAATATACATAAAACTTGTGGCTAAAATATTGAAAATGATCCTTACTAAAGTGATTATTTTAACTGGTCCTAAAATTCTAATTTAATAAAAGTAAAGGTCTTAGTAGGAAAAAAAATTTTTTTTTAATAAAAAAAGAAAGGAAATATTTTTTAAAGTAATACCATTCTAACCCACATGGACAGGTATGAGTATTAATAAAATTATCTCAAATTAAACACATAACTGTCAGAAAGTAAAAGTTTGATCAGTTAGCTAACTTTTAAAATTATAGCAACATTGTACATACCAAATAGTTATTTGCTAAATGAAATAAAATTTGCATTTTAAATTTTAAAATAAATTTACTTTTTAAAAAATTACCCATCACAAATTGTGAATTCTTGCCAGTTGTCTCTCCTTCAGTCTCATGTCAAAATCTCTTCTGAACAATGTGAGAGAAACTAACAGGTTGAACCACATAAAATGGCCAGTGTTCAATCTTTTGGGCTTAGAAAGGAAATCCCTTATGGCTCAACCTAAAAGAAAAAAACAGCATATGACCACTACAAATAGTATAATTATGTAGATCGACAGAGATCAGTTATGTGTACAAATCAGAGAAAAGTTCAAATTTTACTTATTTCATAATGACGTTTGTTTTCTTGCATTTTTATTGACATATAATATTTAACATTAGCCTGCCAATTTGATTAATATTACAGAAAACCACATATTCAAAGTAGGTAAGATCCATTAAGAAAATTATGTTTAAACTGTATTATTTTTATAGTTCATGAATCATATGGTACATTTAAACTGCCATTCATATAGAAACTATAACACTTGAATTTTTCCACTTGTTTTTATCTCAAAATTTGAGTTTTTATTATAGATTCAAATAGAAGTATAAGTAATTTAAAATATGAATTTTACCAAAAAAAAATATATTGCAAACATTTTAATACTGTCACCTTTGCATCATATATGTGTATACATATATACATATATAACTGCATGTATTAAGTACATTAATTACACTTTAATATATATGCAGGAACATCATTGATAATAATTTTTTTGTAATTTATATGAATCTGACCCATTATAACAGGATTTAAACTTGATTAACTTATTCCCCAAATGCATTTGATTGGTGGTGTTGGAAAAGAATTACTTTGTGCAGCAAATATAGCAAAATTCTAATTATCATTCACCTAAAGAACAAATATCTAAAATATTATTGTAATTTATATTATAACTTATGAAACAGTTTATTAACAGCATTATGGTGGTCCACAAGGTAGTATTATCCCCACTGGTTTGCTTTTAAACCAAAATGAGGTAAGTTGAAAAGTAAAATGTGGTTGAAGAGGTCTGTAAGCTTGAGGTTAAAATGACAAGACAGCCAGATTTCCAGCATAAATACAGTTCAGGAATAGAAAAATTTTATAGACTGTTCTAGGTCTGTAAACTATATGTGACCTTTTAACTCAAATTACTGCAAGGCGGGGTTATGGAAGGGGAGATTCGATCAAAGAGTACAAACTTTTATTTATGAGATGAATAAGCTCTGGGGTTTCCATGTACAGCTCGGCCCCTGTAGAGTTGATAATATTATACTGTATGCTTGAAATTTTCTGAGAGTAGGTAAGTGTTTTCACCACCACCAAAAAAAAAAAAAAAAAAGAACTATATTAGGAATGTGTTCATTAGCTTGATGGTGGTAATCATTTCATAATGTATACATATATCAAATCATGATTTTGTGCACCTTAAATATACACAAATTTTATTGGTCAATTATACCTCCATGAAGCTGGGTAACACACACACAGATGACAATGAATGTAACTAAAATAAATTTGTTACTGTAAAAAATATTGTGGGATAATACTAGGGTATTTTTTCCTAATATTTTAGCTACACGGGAGGTAAAGGGAGATGAAGAATGCCTCTTTCAGCAAATTGTCTGCACCTAATTTAGAGACAAGTAGAACAGTATTTGCCAGGGAAGCTGCCTCTGTTTGCTATAAATTAAGCACTGTACTTTTGGTGCCATCCCTTCACGAGAATGGCAGTGAGATAGTAGCCATGGACAACTCAGTGACAGCCACTCTCAGGTCAAGGTCAGATCCTGATCTGCGGCTTCATCACAATGTCTGGAAGTTCTGTAGTTGAATGAGCTCTGACGATATATCACTCAGTATGTAAGGAAGCTACATGATTATAGAAAATCCTTTATGCACTTAATAACCTCCAAGTCTTGGTGCTGTCACTACCGAAATATTTGTGTCAACCATATCCACGGCTTTTATTCTTACATGTGTGAAATTACTAATCGGCACAACATTTTTTCATCAGAGGCATCAGTGGACCTCTCAAAATATCCAAAGTGTCAACAAAAGATCTGTGACTTAGTTTTAGAAATAAAGTCTTTTTGATAACACAATTGAAAGACAAAATAGTAACTCAAGGCTAAAAAACGAACGAGTATGAACAAGAAAGTACAGGCAAAAGTATATGTATCCAGTAATGGCTGATGCTAAGAAAGGTTAGACTAGTAGAAGAGAAAATAAATGGTGCCTCAGAAAAAAAGGGAAAGAAGTGATTTTGGAGGATGGGAGTCGAAAGTATAAATGCTAAGTGAAAGATAAATAAAAAGCAATGATTGCCATGGTTGGGTAGCTCAGTTGGTTGGAGCATTGTTCCATGCACCAAACGGTGTGGATTTGATCCTTAGTCAGGGCACCCAAGGGTGGCAACAGATGGATGTTTCTCTCTCTCGCTCTAAAAATAAATAAAAAACATAGGCTTGGGTGAGGATTTTTAAAAAATAGCAAAGATTGAAAATATTCTATTGGAGCCCTGGCCGATTTGGCTTAGCAGTTAGAGTGTCGGCCCACTGACCAAAGGGTTGCGTGTTTAACTCTCAGTCAAGGGTTGCAGGTTAGATCCTGGCCCTGGGGAGGCAACCAATGGATGTTTCTCTCACATCAATGTTTCTCTCTCTCTCCCCCTGCCTTCCTTCTACTCTATGGAAAAAAATCAATGGAAAAATACCCTTGGGTAAGGATTAACAGAGAGAGAGAGAGAGAGAGAGAGAGAGAGAGAGAGAGAGAATATTCTATTTGTTATTATGTCTGGGCCCATTTTGCTCTCTTTTTATATGCTTCCTATTGATTTGAGAGAGAGAGAGAGAAAGAGAGAGAGATCAAGTTGCTCTTCCACTTATTTATGAATTCATTGGTTGATTCTTATATGTGCCGTGACTGAGGATCAAACCCACAACCTTGGCATCAACCTTGGCATATGAAGACAATGCTCTAACCAACTGAGCTATCCACAACCAGGGCTTTATATGCTTCATACATAATCTTATACATGCACTCAGGTTCACTTGCCTTACACATTTCTCGCACAGTAGTTGATAAATGTGTGTTAAATCAATGAAATAGTTCTTTATTCTAGCATTTATACTAATCAGCTCTGTTGTTCTTTTAATGATTTTCTTTGTACTGGAAACATTTTGAGAATATCTAGATTTCTAATCTATATTTTTCATTGAAATTTATTATTTAAGTTATTCAAATACCAGCATGTGTATGGTCTATTAAATCTTTAGAAGTAGCCCTTTTTTGTTATTCAATATGACAGTGCATTAATTAGTATTTCCAATTTAATCAAAATTGTTTCACATTTCTTACTAAAGTTTACATGTTTGCTTTTTATATGCCAGGTGGTTGTAAGAGCTTTGATAAAAACAACTTTACCCGCTTTGAATGTGTTTCTGGTCTGCCTTTTGATCTGGCTGGCTTTTAGCATCGTGGGAGTACAGTTATTTGCTGGCACATTCTACAAATGCATTGACCCAACAAGTGGAGAAAGGTTTTCTATATATGAAGTCATGAATAAGAGTCAATGTGAAAGTCTTCTATTCAATGAGTCCATGCCATGGGAGAATGCAAAACTGAACTTTGATAATGTTGGAAATGGTTTCCTTTCATTGCTTCAAGTAGTAAGTATGCTTTTGATTTTATTATCTATTATATATGTTCATCCATATTGTAGATAAATATAAAGACAAAATTTGGATGATTAATAAAATTGGTTATAAATTATTTTAGCTATTATTTGTTAATAGATACATGTTATGAACAGATATATTCATTCAAAGAAACAAAAATGGAACCATTTCTACTGTCTTTGGAGAAGACTATGGAGATGAAGGCAGGTCTGACTGAGGAAATGGCAGGGACTGGCCAAACCTGTTTGCATCACTGATCATGTAACAGGGTCAGAGTTTTTGGTCCAACTCAGGTTACTACAGTTTTGTTTTTACTTAGTGCTCTGAAGAATGGCTACTCAGTCTAGCAGATGTGAGGAGGTGAACCATTCTTGTCTTAGCTCCCCAACAGAAAAGCACATACATAGCTGTTACAAGTACCTATGACTCTCAGGCAGCACGTATTTATTTACTATTTACCTCTCTCTTTCTGTACCTTTTTTCTTTCTCTGTCTAATTATATTATCTTAAAATATTTTAAGTTATTAACTACAGTTACACTAGTAGTTTTATATAGTCGTTAACAGACAACATAAATTTAATAATGAAAAAAGTAAAGATAGTTATACAATAGATTGAAGAGTGGTCAGCCTTACTAATCAAATGTTTTACTATATTAATAAAAGATTGAATTTGACTTTTATTTGTCATGAAACATAAGATTTTCATAAGAATTAAATACTTGCCATTTTTACAGGCAACGTTCAATGGATGGCTCACTATTATGGATTCAGCTGTTGATTCTACTGGTGTAAGTATAGTATAATCTTAAACCATTGTTACACTTCAACAAAGTCATTTTTGTAATTCAAGAGCAGGATACCAGCAATAACAATATTAACAGGGTAAAAGCAAATGCTTATGCTAGACAGAAGTTAAATACAGTTCAGATTGAGCATTTCATGGACAATGAAGTCCTTTCAGGATTATACACAATGGTTGAGGCCCAACAGGCCCTTTTGAAGGATTACCAGACTTCATAATATTTATTAAACCAATACAAGAAACTTTAAACTCAATAAACAAAACAATTGTATCCCTTAACTAATGAGCAAAGAGGAAATATTACTTCAAGTAGCATTCTTGGATTTTCTTGTCAGAACTTGTTTTATAAATCTTATGTTTTAAAAAGTTAGTATCAATATTTTCCTTATTTTTCACTATTTAAGTATTTTTATTTTTAAAGAATTTCTCTTTAGCCCTGGCTGGTTTGACTCAGTGGTGAGAGCGTTGGCCTGCAGACCAGGGAGTCCCGGGTTTGGTTCCCGCTGAGGGCACGTACCTTGGTTGCAGTTTGTTCCCAGCCCCGGTTGGGTCATGTGGGTGGCAACCACTCGATGTGTCTCCCTCACATTGATGTTTCTCTCTCTCTCTCTTCCTCCCTCTCTCCCTCCCACTCTATCTGAAGATAAATGCAAAATAAAAAAAAAATAAAAAAAAATGTCCTCGGGTGAGGAATAAAAAGAATTTATCTTTAGTGCAGTTTTAGGTTTACAACACAACTGAGAGGGAGGTATAGATATTTCCCATACACCCCCTTCCTCCACGCATGCATAGCCTCCTCACTGTTAGCATCATTCATCAGAATGGTATATTTTTAAAAATATATATATGCTTTTATTAATTTTAGAGAGGGAGGGAGAGGGAGAGGGAGAGGGAGAGGGAGAGAGAAACATCAATGAGAGAGAAACATTGGCCACTTCCTGCAGGTCCCCTACTGGGGACTGAGCACTCAATCTGGGCATGTGCCCTGATCAGGAATCGAACCAGTGCCCTCCTGGTGCATGTGACAACTCTCAACCAGTTAAACCAGACCAGCAGGGCAAGAATGGTATGTGTGTGTGTGTGTGTGTGTATGTATATATATATACATACACACACACAATATATATTTTTACCAAGAAATAATCTACATTGACACATCATAATCACCCCAAATTCATAGTTTACTTTGGGGTTCACTCAGTGTAGTACATTCTGTAGATTTGGACAGATGTTGATGACATGTACCCATTATTTTTTTTTGTTTTATATTACTTTATTTTATTTTAATCCTAGCACTGTATTTAAATTTTACTGCATAGTATACAGGATTGGTGAACCCACTTACAGCATTATGCAGATGTAAGAGGCAACAATAAAAGAAAAAAATAAAATTAACAAAGAAAGTAAAAATTGTGTCTTTCTTTTCTTGAGGAATGCTATGGAATACATGTACGAAGGATTCAGTATTGTATCTTGAAGCCCCCATATATTTAGTAGAGATCAATTTTTTTATTAATTTATTTTTATTACAGATGTTTCTTCTTTTTTCCCGACACCCTCCTCCCCATCCCCCCACCCCGTCGCCAGCTTTGTTGTCCGTGTCCATTGGTCATGTGTACATGCATATAATTTCTGTGGTTTATCTTTTCCCTCCCCTCCACCCCTCTTTTGAGGGTTGTCATTCTGTACCCTACTTCCACATCTCTGGGTCTACCCTGTTCCTCAGATTGTTATTTTCATTATATTCCAAGATATATTTATCTTTCTCTGCTTGGCTTGTTTTGCTTAGGATAATATTCTTCAGGTCCCTCCATCTCAAAGGATAAAAGATCTTTCTTTCTTACAGCTGCATAGTACTCCATTGTGTATATATACCACAGCTTTTTTATTCATTTGTCTATGAATGGACACTTGGGCTGTTTCCAGATCTTAGCTATTGTAAATAGTGCTGCTATGAACATAGGGATACATATATTCTTTCTGATTGGTGTTTCAGGCTTCTTAGGGTATATTCCTAGAAGTGGGATCACTGGGTCAAATGGCAGTTCAATTTCTAACTTTTTGAGGTAACACCATAGTGTTTCCACAGTGGCTGCACCAGTCTGCATTCCCACCAGCAGTGTACTAGAGTCCCCTTTTCTCCACACCCTTGCTTACACTTGTTTGATGATTTGTTGACAGTGACCATTCTGACAGGTGTGAGATGATACCTCATTGTTGTTTTAATTTGCATCTCTCTGATGATTAGTGATGTTGAGCATTTCTTCTTATGTCTCTTGGCCACTTTTATGTCCTATTTGGAGAGCTGTCTATTTAGGTCGTATGCCCATTTTTTAAATTGGGTTCTTTGTCTTCCTTTTTTTGAGTTGTATGAGCACTCTATATATTTTGGAAATTAACTCCTTATCTGATGCATCATTAGCAATTATGGTCTCCCATATAGTGGAATCCCTTTCCATTTTGATGGTTGTTTCTTTTGCTGTGTGTTCTTCTTGAACTTGAATGCCTTCTTCCTTTAGGGACGTTTTCTGTCACCACTTCTTCAAATATATTCTGTAACCCTTGCTTATTTTCTTCTTCTTCAAGAACTCCTATGATACAAATATTATTACATTTCCAGTTGTCCCATAATTCTCTTAAGCTGTCTTCTTGTTTTTTAATTGTTTATTTTTCCTTTTGGTTTTCTGATTGGTTGATTTTTTCTACCCTGTCTTCTAATTCACTGATCCAGTCCTCAGTTTCCTCTACTCTGCTGTTTAGTCCTTCCAATGTGTTCTTTATTTCTGCTATGTGATTCTTTATTTCTTCTTGGTGGTTTTTCATTTCCAATTGGTTGATTTTCAGTGTTTCTATGTCTTTACTCATGGTGTTAATGTCCTTACTCATGCTGTTAAGCTTCCTCAAGATCATGGCTCTGAATTCTACCTCTGATAACTTGCTTAACTGCATTTCATTTATCTCTCATCTTCGGTAGAGGTCTCTTGTTCTTTCATTTGGGGTTTGTTTCTTTGTTTCACCATTTTGGCTATCTCAGTGCATTTTGCAGCCTGACAAAATTTCCCTGTGGGTGTTGGTGCTCTGTTGTTTATGGCTCCCTCTTCTGGGTTTGGATGAGCATGGGAGGACCCACATTAAACACCCCTGTCAAGTCTTACTTTCCTGGGCAGAGTTGCAAGCCCAGGAAAGGTTCAGTGATTCTCTAGCTTTTTGCCTGGATGCTATTAGTAGCAGTGACTTGAAGAGTCTTGGGTTCTCAGTTGAATGAAAAACTCTCTCAGGTGTTCAGCATAAGGGGATTTCCCAAGGGTGGGGCAGATGCTGGTTGCTAATGAGCCTATATTTGCATTTCAATGGCTCACCTGGGTGGGGTTGAATCTCTGAGGGAGGGGCCACCACCTCTCCTCATAGCCCTGGGAAGGAGTAAGATGGCCACCATCCAACTCAGCAAAAGCTCTGAGTACCCTCTAAATCCCGAGTGTCCCCACACAGTTGCAGTCCAGTCTGCCCTCCTTCTGCTGAAGCCCAAGGTGAGTGGCTGTGGCTATTTTAGTGCTCTGTCCTGGCCCTCTTTGCTGTAGAGCGGGATTGGGAGATTAGCCCCGAGGGTGTAGCTCACAGCTAAGACCACTGCTGTTCATGGAATCCGAGCCCCTCTCTCATGCCTCTGCAACCCTACCAGGATTGATTCAGTGTCCCTGGTTATATGGTCCTTGCAAACTGCTTTTCTGTTGCTTTTTCCTGATGATTTGTCTTTATTTTAGTTGTAATTTCAGTTGGGTCCTGGGAGATGGTCTGCGTAGTTTCCATTCACTCCACCACCATTTTGGAATCTAGTCGACTTGTACCCAATTATTACAATATCATGCAGAGTTTTTTCACTGCCCTAAAAGTGCTCTATGCTCTTCCTTATTTTGCTTATTTTTTAACTTAACTTTTAGGTAAATGTGCAACCTGAATTTGAATGCAACATCTACATGTATTGTTACTTTATTGGCTTTATTATCATTGGATTATTTCTTCCTCTGACTATGCTGGTCGGTGTTATTCTTGCTAATTTCAACAAACATAACATGAAGATAAGTATAAATATTTTTTGTTCATCAATGCCTGAGAAAATCAAACACATTTATAAAAATGTCCTGCTTCAAATAATTGGTTTCGATTCAGCTTAATGTCATTTTTATTTGGTACTTAGCTAAAAAAAATAAAAATAAAAATAAAAATTGATGTTTCTACATATTGATAAATATTACTAAAATGTTCATTCTGTATATTGTTTTCTATATTCAAATATATACAGCCAAGTTTAAAAGGTAAAAATTGAAAGTGTTTCTGTGTGTATGTTCATAAATAATGACATGCTAAAAAATAAAAACATTGTTTGCACAAATATGTGAAGTTCACACTTTTTTCCTCTCTGAAATTTTCAAAACATTCAGAGTCATAACCAGCCTGGGCACACTGCTCTCTTCTCTGTTGGAGTAACTTTTCATGCTAGTAATAGAGAGAGTCATAAATTCTAACCGGCTGGCCTAAATAGGCGTGCTTGAAATGAATAAGAAAGAATTCAGAGGCAGAATTAAACAGCCCATTTGGTGCCATCTCCACACTAATATTCTCTTCAGGGCTTCTACAAATTGCAAAGGCTTCAAAAGTCTTCTAAGTCTGCTTATTCTAACCACAGAGACCTACTTTCTATTGGGATAGGAAAGCCTTCTAACAAAATGAAGGAAAAAAATCATTTAATTCTGAAATTACAGCTCAGCCATGTCATCAAAATTTAGCCATGTGCAGAATCTGGTAAACAAACAACTGAGTCTCCACTGATCACATGGGATTAGAGAGATCAGTGGTCAAACATCTAGAAAGATAAACCTTTCTAGATATCCCGTTTCTCCTGTCTCAGTCTAATAAGAGGTAGGCCTCAAACAGAAAAGTTAAAATAGGGTTGACCACCCACAAGAAAGTGCACCAAAATATAACTGAGCATCAATCACTACCATAACATAGTCTGTAGACATTTTATATGGATTTTTGTGCAGAAAATCAGATGTGTTTAAGTATGGTTTAGTTCATTGCAGTTAAGCCTGTTTTAAAGATTGAATCAATCATTGCCAACCTTTCCAAAATGTATATTAGTATAAAGTGAAATTTGGATTGATTCTGATTTTAATATATTTTTCTTTCATTTCTTTACCAGGGAGGCTCAAATATCTTTATAACAGTAAAACAGAAGAAACAATACCATGCACTGAAGAAGCTGATGTGTGAGGATTCTGGAAAAACAATACCTCGCCCAAGAGTAAGAAAGCTTCTAGATTTTTTTTAAGCTTCTAAAAAAGTTTCCTTGATATATTCATCTTTAAAAATAAACATGTGACCCTGTCCACTTTTGCTTAGCAGTTAGAGCAACCCATGGACCCAAGGGTTGCAGTTTCAATTCTTAGTCAAGGGCATGTATCTGGGTTTCAAGCTTAGTGTCTGGCCCCAGTAAATGGGGGTCGTGCATTGATTCTTGTATATGCCCTGACCGAAGATCGAACCCACTACCTTGGTGTCAACCTTGGTATCAATCTTGATGTATCAAGACAATGCTCTAATCAGCCAGGGCTTTATATGCTATCTAGATAATCTTATACATACACACAGGTTCACTTGTCTTGTACATTTCAATGTTTCTATCTCTCCCTCCCTCCCTCCTTCCCTTCCACTCTATCTAAAAATCAGTGGAAAAATATCCTCAGGTGAGGATTAACAAAAAACAAAATAAAAATAAACATGTATTTTTAAAATTCTTAACAACAAATGCTTTTAACAAAATTTTTAAAAATATGTTCCTTGACAAAGCTTTGGATGCTCTTCTTGTTTGTTTTGACTGTGTGCTGTACATAACTCTAGTTTGGTAAGAACTTAGACCCTGACTTATTCTATTTATGCTGGGAGGAAAGTTGCAAAACCTATGTGTGTATATAGATTCCTTATTAATAAGATTATTACACCTTTTTCTTACCCACAGAACAAGTGCCAAGGATTCATCTTTGACTTGGTAACAAATAAAATTTTTAATATCATCATTATGGTTCTTATCTGTTTCCAAGCAATAACCATTATGATACAAAGTGATGAACAGAGTCTGCAGATGGACACTGCTCTCTCCTGGATCGACCTAGTTTTCGTTATTCTGTACACTGCAGAATGTGTGCTGAAGCTCATCTCTTTCCATTGTAACTATTTCACCAGTGGATGGAACATTTTTGATTTTATGTTGGTCATTTTGTCTATTACAGGTAAGATTTTAAGTCATATTTCATTTGTCGTAATATTAACTGAGGCAAGTTCTTACAGTAAATGTCTCCTGAGATATAGCCTCTTAATCAGCAAAACAGGTAGGGATCATTGTTATTTCCAACCAAAATTCTTTACATTTTTGTGTTCATACATGCCTGACAGATATAAGATATTCAAAAATACTGTTTGAATTAATATATAGACTTTACTTCACAGACCACCAAGTAAATACTTATTACCCCTTTAGCATATCAGCTACATTATTTTTTCTAGATGACACTATAGATATACCTTAGCCTGATAAAACCTTTCAAGCTCACTATTCTCCCATTCTTCTACTCTCTGTAACTGTTTACAACCTTCATCACAGTAGAGTTTAAGGCTTTAATAAATTGGTCACTAGTTTTACCCTGGAGATCTCAGTCTTTTATTTAACCAACATATTTGATTACCTTCTTTGCGAGCAGACAGTATACTCTATGCAAAGAATTCATTAGTAAACAAGTTAGGCATGATTCCTGTATGCCTATAGTTTGTAATTTATTATAAACTATGGAAGGACACAGATAATTAGTAGTTCCTTTTTATGTGCTACAAGGATACAGTAAGGTATATAAGGGATGTTACAGCAGCACGTCGGTGAGAAACACCTAATCAGTAAGTAGGGGTCAGGGAAAACTTTGTGGAAGAAACAAAAATCTAAATAGTTACCTATTGGGTAAGGAGGTAGCCAAGAAATCATCTCAGAGAAAGGTGTTTTAGGTTGAGAGAAGTTTGTTTATTGTCTGCCTCCTATAAGATGCTTCCTAGAACGTGAACTCCATGAGAATATTTAATGTTCATTGTAAAGCACTGTTCTCTGTGGTCAGTAGTAAAAAATGTGGATGAACTGTCCGCCCAGTTGTGCCCCAGAAACTTCACTCATTCACCTGGTAGGGGAAGCAGTGCAACTAACTCTTGGCAGCCAAGTGCAAGAAGCTTGATTGCAAGTGAGTAGAAACAGGAGGGAGCAGGTAGGAAGATAACAGAGGAATATGGAGTTAAAGAGCCCTGTGAGATGGAAGCGAGGGTTACTAAATCAGAGACCTGGAAAGTGAGAAAACTGCAGTCCGAGAGAAAGCTGTTTGAATTTGAGATCTCAGAAAGCAGGTATCCTGCCTGGGTCCAGAATGTGGCCATAGTTGTGTATGACTAAAGTAAAATGATGGAGATTATTAAAATTAAAAGAGCCAAAGACTGAGAGACTAGCGTTTGTTGATGGTAGGTGCTGGGGTGGAAAGGATGGCATGAGCCAAGAACTAGACTCCAATGGACTAGAAGTGAGGAGAAATGACTAGATCACAGAGCCAGGAATGGTAGGGCATGGTATTGTTAAATGACATGACCCACAAAGTGTTGAAATGATTATTTTTTCTTTCTGAAAATGACGAGAAGGAAAGATATCTAGAAATCACAATGAAAAGGAGAAAAAAAGATGCCTGCTTATTCCACCTTTCTACCCTGAGAAATATGGAGGGGGGGAGAATGAGCCATCAGTACTCTAGAAGATGGAGAAAAAAATGCACCTACAATGATAGGGGGAGTGCCTCCTGCCCAATGGGAGGGTTTGGAAGATTGAGCAGAAATGAATGTTCGAGCCAGACTTGAAGGTTCATGAAAGCACTCTGGAGATGAGGGTATAGATAAGACAGGATATCAGAGATTCAGAATGCCAACATTAACAGTGACAAAGGTCAACAGAGATGTGAGACATAATTTTTCCACATTTAGCAAACATACTATCTCATTTAGAAGCCTCAGATGATTCTCCCCTCCCCCACCTTCTCAACTCAAAATGAACCACATTCTCTCCAGTATTTACAGAGAACATCCCTTAAGCTTTTTTATGATAATTATAATTTCACCTTGTTTCGTGGTTCTCTCTCTCACTTTCATATTTCTCTCATTCATTCGCCACTGCCAGAAAAAAAGTTCTAGGCAAAGACTCATTTATTCAGTTCACACTGATAGCTCCCAAGGGCCCAAATACTATTTATAAAATAAATTAAATTATAATCTGTGAGTCAAGAAATACAGTATACAGGTGATGTGTTGTGGAATTGTGCACCTGAAACCTGTATAATGTTGTTAACCAGCTCACCCCAATAAATTCAATGAAAAACACATTTTTGTAATTTATAAACCAGGTTTTTCTGCTTTGCATTATAATTAGTTTAAATGTCTACCTCTAAAGACTACAAGATCTTTGAGGACAAAAGTCACATTATTTGTATTTGCACGACATCTTTATTAAGTATCCAATAATGGTTGCATTGAACTAACTTTCTTGATCCAACTGCAATCAGAAAAAATTACTATTGTCCCATATTATGGATTTATACCCTCTGTGATTCCAGAAGTACTTGATACATAATACTCTTAAGGTGATGGTACAAAGAATTCTTTTCCAAATTTTCCTAGATACTCTGAGCATTGCCAGGATTAATATTTGGCTAACCCAAGCTTTCAATATGTGCTAAATGCTATATGGGAAGGATGAATAAAATGATCTCAACATATAGAAAATGATGAAATATAAAATAGCTTATATTCCTCTAAATATTATCGAATTGGAATAATTTTATTGCCTGCTTTATCTTTCCCCACACCAAGCACTCCTTCTGCCTCAGATGGTAGGATACTACCTTGTACCTCTTTCCCTGGTGCGACTGATACTTCTCTCTCGGATCATCCACGTCCTGCGTCCCGGGAAAGGACCAAAGGTGTTCCATGATCTGCTGCTTCCTTTAATGCTCTTCCTCCCGGCATTGTTGAACATCGGTCTGCTCATCTTCCTGGTCATGTTTGTCTACGCCATCTTTGGAATGTATAATTTTGCCTATGTTAAAAAGGATGCTGGAATTAATGATGTGTCCAACTTTGAAACCTTTGGCAGCAGTATGCTCTGTCTTTTCCAAGTTACAATATTTGCTGGTTGGGATGGGATGCTCGATGCAATTTTTAACAGTCAATGGTCCGACTGTGATCCTGATAAGATTAACCCTGGGACCCAGGTTAGAGGAGATTGTGGCAACCCCCTTGTTGGAATTATTTATTTTGTCAGTTACATCCTCATAGTATGGCTGATCATTGTAAACATGTACATCGTTGTTGTTGTGGATTTTTTAAATATTGCTTCTAAAAAAAAAGCCAAGTCCTTGAGTGAAGATGACTTTAGGAAATTCTTTCAGGTGTGGAAGAGGTTTGATCCTGATGGGACCCAGTACATAGATTCCAGCAAGCTTTCAGATTTTGCAGCTGCCCTGGATCCTCCTCTTTCCGTGGCAAAACCAAACAAGGGCCAGCTTGTTGCCATGGATCTTCCAATGGCTGTTGGGGACAGAATTCATTGCCTTGACATCTTACTTGCTTTTACAAAGCGATTTGTGGGTAAAGATGTGAAGATGGAGAAACTCCTTTCAGAGATGGAGTCAGGGTTTGTGTTAGCCAACCCTTTTAAAATCACGTATGAACCAATTACAACTACTCTGAAACGAAAACAAGAGGCAGTCTCCGCAACCATCATTCAGCGTGCTTATAAAAGCTACCGTTTGAGGCAACATGACAAAAATACATCAGATATTCATATGATAGATGATGACAGGGAAGGTCAAGCTACCAAAGGAGATGTCTAATTTGGTAAAGCTGAGGAAAAGTCAACTATTCAAAACCAGATCTAATTCACTTACCACCTTTTCACATATCTCAAAAATGTTGAAAGTTTAAGTCAGAAATAAGAGCAAAGATCAGACAAAGTAAAAATTTCACTTAGTCATCAATTGTTTACAACTCATGGAGGTTAACCTTGTTTTCACAAGACTCCATGTTAAATTCACTTGTTTACCCCTCTATATTCAGTGTAACCAAGACAACCCTTTAAATTCCTGTAGTGAGTTACAATGGGTTAAACTTGCCATTTGATAATCCAGTGCTTGTTTTCTCTATGATTTATATAGTGAGTGCTTCTTTTGGATGATAGGGGTTGGGGGGTTGTTAGAGATTAGTAATAAAAGGGTCTTCCTGTATATTTTATATATACCTTAACTTGATGGGACTCATATCCCCTCTTTTTTAATGTATGATGATGTTTTAAAAATAATAATAAACAGTACAATACTACAGGCCATTAAATCATGAATTTACCCACACAGATGCCAGTTGGGGGAAGAGGAAGGGCAGTTCTTAGAAAGTGCCTTTGAGATCAATCTCAGAGACCTTGGGTTGAATCAAACCGCATTTGAAAAGGATTGATTGGAGCCCTGTTCTTGTTGTTTTATTTTTGGTATGGAGAAGGGGAATTAATGTTGTTTCATTGTTCTTGGATTCCTGGCTTCTCATCTCTGGCTAGTTCCACCTAAACTCAGCTTTTCAGCAAAATGGATTCTTAGTACAAGAAGAGTAAAGGGAACACAGTGATGAGCTATATTTTCCTCATTTACATTTTTTAAAAGTATATATTTACTAAAATGATAGACAATATGTTTAGTAGACTCAAGTCTTATCATAGAACTGATGTATTTTTACCATTTATCTATAATGTAACACAGTATATAAGATCTGGCCAATGTGTATCATAATATCAATTAGAGGAGTCAAGGGCTACCATTATGTCTAAGGATTTTCACAGTGTCTTGATCTTTAGTTGGGAAACTGGTCACTTTGAAGTACTCTTTGCTGTACTTTATGGTTCTTTATAACTTAGAGAAAGAAAGTGATCACTGAAGCTGTGAGAACTCTGAATTAGAGATTGAAGTGTAAGTTTTTTGTCGGTGGGTTTTTTATCTTTTATTTTTATTTCTTTTTTTAAATCCTCACCCAAGGATATTTCTCCATTTATCTTCAGATAGAGTGGGAGGGAAAGAAGGAGGGAGGAAGAGAGAGAGAGAGAGAGAAAGAGAGACGTTGGTGTGAAAGAGACACATCGATTGATTGCCTCCTGCAGGACCCCAACCAGGGTGGGGACCGAACTGCAACCCAACCGAGGCACGTGCCCTTGACAGGAATCAAACCTGAGACTCTTTGGTCCATGGGCCAACACTCTAACTGCTGAGCCAAACAGGCCAGGGTGGGTTTTTATAACATTAATGTATGCAAGTTACTCATTTATATTTCCAAGTTTTTTGTTGTTGCTATCTCATCACATACATAAGTAAAATGTCCTATGTCTGCAAAACTTTGAAATCCTAAACATTAATTTTCACTATTGAAATTCTTTTTAAAAGATAGGCACAAATTGTTTTTTGACATATTCATAAAAATGCAATCACATCCATGTAGTTTGAGATTCTGAAATGTATTCCTTTTGTATGAAGATTGCTTTCAATGTGCCTATGAAGTCCTAAAGGATTAAAAAAAAAGATATGTATACTATTAACTTAAATGATAGGCTTTCAATAATGTTGTATGACATACAATAACATTTAAATATCAATGATTGTATTTTATTATGAATGCATGATCTTGAGCCTTAACTATTATAATCTGTTATTTCTGTTCTCAGAAATGTATTAACCTGACCAAGATGCCTTTGGGGGATCCCCTAAGCAAATGTAATTTCAGGGTTCTCTTTCTTTCTATGTGTTCCTTCCCTTTCTCCTCCCATTCTCCATCATGTATATGGTGGAGATCATGCTTATCTGTTTTCTGTATCTTGGAAATGCTTTAATGTGGAGACCGCTTCAGATATTTACACTGAATCTTAACTTGCTTCTGTAAATTCTGTAAAGACCACAAACTGATTTTAGTTTGAAAATTGTATCTTTTATTTGTAAACTATGTATGCCATTAACCTACCAAAATTGTATAAAGAATTATTTTTAACAAAGTCATACAATATATTCTACTTTTTAGATACTATAGAGAAAATAATAAATGCAACCTGTTAACCATACTAATTTGTTCCTTTTCTTTGGTAAGTCAGTTTGGCAACTTTCTGTAATAAAAAATTTTAAATGAGCCTTATGTTAAAGTTTGTTCATTCAGGCTCAAAATTCAAAACTGGAAAAATGTATGCTTCCTTTTGGTTCACTAAATTTAGTAAAATTAATGTTAGTAAACTTACCAGAGAACCCTACACATCAACAAAATATAAAAAAGACATTCTTTTTATTGAAATCATAGTAAGTCCACTAGATATATCTCAGTATTATTAGAATTTGCTTATAGAAAATAATGTTGAAATGAAATTTATTGGTATGCTACTATTTCTTAATATCTGCTTTAAAAATTGTTTCTGGTCTTCTAATAAATATAATGTACTCAAATGATAATAAAGATATTGGAATTAGCTACCATTTATTGAGCAGACTGTTATGCCAGACTTGTGCCAAGTAGTTATCATGCATGAGCTTAGTAGTCACAACACTCATGAAGCAATGATGAAAAATATTAGGATTAGAAGAGTTATAAGAGCTTTTATCTGGCACAGAACTTGTAAATGACAAGCCAGTACTCTAAATCAGGTCTAGTTTCACAGACTTAATATTTAGCCACTCTGTTCAACTGTCAAGTAATAAATGACTAGGTAGAGACAAAGGAAGTTTAAGATGAATTGAATTGTTGTACAGAGATAGGAGTATCTATCTCTATCTCATCTCTATCTCTGTGTCACCCTATATGTCGCCCTTTATGGAGGAAATTTTAAAAGTAGAGACAACCCCTGGAAAAAGGAAAGTCACGGGGATATAACTATACAAGTTTTTCATTCAATATTTATTGAATGCTAGATACTCCAGATAAACCCAGATCCTGGATAGTTATACATACATACATACAAAGATAAAACTGGAACAAAAGCACTTACTGACTACTGAGGGGGTGGACAAAACTATACAGCTGATTATAATATATGATCATATTTATGCCATTGATACAAACTGTAATATGTCTACAGGAACGAATGATGAGTTCTGATTGGAAATTACAGGTGAAGTTAGTGTAGTGGCCTCTGAAGAAAAGGAAAGATTTTATCAATTACACAAGAAGGTAACTATATTCCCCACAGATACCTTTTATTTATTTATTTTTCCTTTATTGATTTTAGAGAGAGAGGAAGTGAGAGGGAGAGAGAGAGATAGAAACATCGATAAGAAAGAACATCGATTGGCTGCCTCAACATGCCCCACACTGGGGATCTGGCCCATAACCTGGACATGTGTCCTGACCGGGAATCAAACCGGCGACCTCATGGTGCATGGGTTGACGCTCCACCACTGAGCCATGCTGGCTAGACCACACAGAGACCTTTAAAAAACAGGAGTCCATCACAGAGAGGAGACCTAAGGTTCTCGCTTACGGTTTTTCAGGCTCCATAGTAAAAAGAGAGAGAAAACAAAGATGGGATAAAACTTCCACTGAAGAGACTAAAAAGAAAATTTGAGCAGAATTACTCTGGTCACCTTGAGTCCCTTCCCAAACATGCTATATTTTGCCTTTTGGCTGTGACCCTTTTAATTATTCCTTTCCATAAATTCCAGGTCTGCAGGTCTGCATTCACAACTCTACAGTCTTACCTATGGGTTTAGTTTCACCTTTTTACCTTCTGTAAAGAGCCCTTTCTTTCTTTTTTTTTTTACTTACCTTTACTGTTGAATGTATTACAGATGTTCCTCATGTTTTCCCTATTGACCCCCTCCTCCTGATTCCCACCCTCCTCCTGCCTTTCCTCACACTGTTGTCTGTGTCTATTGGTTATGCATATATATGTATAAGTTCTTTGGCTTATTTCTTCCCACCCCCAACCCCCCTTCCCTTTGAAGTTTGTCAGTCTAGCAACCGATATGTACTTCTTAATCCCTTCACCTTTTTTACCCATTCACCCAACCCCCCTCCCATCTGGCAACCAACAAAATGTTCTCTGTATCTATGAGAATGTTTCTGTTTTGCTTGTTCATTTTGTTTGTAGATTCAATTGTCGACAGATACGTATTCATTGCCATTTTGTTTGTTCATATTTTTTTATCTTTTTCTTCAAGAAGACCTTTCAACATTTCATATAATAATGGTTTGGTCGTGATAAATTCCTTTAGCTTTTCCTTGTCTGGGAAACCCTTTATACGGCCATCGATTCTAAATGACAGCTTTGCAGGATAGAGTAATCTTGGTAATCTTGGTTGTAGGTTCTTGCTTTTCATCACTCTGAATATTTCTTGCCCTCTGGCCTGCAAAGTTTCTTTTGAGAAATCAACTGTCAGTCTTATGAGGGTTCCCTTGTAGGTAACTAACTGCTTTTCTCTTGCTGCTTTTAAGATTCTCTCTTTGTCTTGAACCTTTTGCATTTTAATAATGGTGTGTCTTGGTGTGGGCCTCTTGGAGTTCATCTTGTTTGGGACTCTCTGTGCTTCCTGGACGTGTATGTCTGTTTTCTTCCCCAAGTTAGGGAAGTAAGTTTTCTGCCATTATTGTTTCAAGTAGGTTTTTGATTTCTTGTTGTCTCTCTTCTCCTTCTGGCACCCCCAAGGTGCGAATGTTGGCATGCTTGAAGTTGTCCCAGAGGCTCCTTACACTCTCCTCATTTTTTTGGATTCTTTTTTTCTTTTTGCTATTCTGATTGGGTGTTTTTTGCTTCCTTATATTCCAAATCGATGGTTTGCTTCTTGGCTTTACCTACTCTACTATTGAATCTGTGTAAACTATTCTTTATTTCAGTTAGTGCCTCCTTCATTTCTGACTCATCCTTTTT